TAGGAACAATAGTGGTCCTAAAATTGAACCCTGCGGTACCCCACTATGAACGCAGGCCCACTGTGACATTGTGCCTCTAATAACTACTCGCTGCTTCCTATCACTTAACCAGTTTTCGATCCAAGCTGCCACAGTTCCTAAAATTCCTGCAGCTTTGAGCTTTAGCAAGAGCCGTTTGTGGGGGACAACAACAAAGGCCATCTGGAAATCTAAGTAGATCACATCGGAGGCCTTTTTGTGATCAATTTCACTTGTGGCTTCCTCAAAGAACTCAAGTAGATCGTTAAACAGAATCTACCTCTCCTAAATCCATGTTGAATGTTATTTGCATCCAGGTAAGGAGCATTCCAGTTGGACAATCATGACGTCTAACTTAAGTTAGCCCACCTAAAGTGGAAATCCGACTTTGTGGAACACCCCCCCTGCTCCAAGCAGACTTGAGCTTACGGACTGGTTGCTGTGACAACCAAGCCAACAAGAGTTTCGAAGAACCGAGAAATATGGGATTTTGTCAAATCGTCAACAGTTAGATCCAGACAACTCGTTAATCCGTGGACAAAGAATTATCCCCCCCCCCCACCCAGCTTCGTAATACAGGCTCCAGGATTCCTTGCTTAGCCAGATATCTTGTTGAGTGGTTAAGGTAGTCTGGGCTAAATGTAAGTGAAAGAAGATAAACTCAATTTAAATTGGATAACCTTAAAATTTGAAAAGTTCCCGTTGTAATCAAGAAATCCTGCTTTGTGTTACAGGTCCTTGGAATGATGTTTGGAATCGGATATCTTCTGCAATACTCATTGGGGTTACAAGTTTGGGCCCGTGGTTTGGGTTGAGCCGTGGTAGTGAAGTGTGTGTCTGAGTTTTACAGAATCATGGTGGTCATGGGGGAGTTAGGATATGGTGTTTCTTTTCCCATTTCTGTTTCAAGAAGCCCTGGGTCCATTTAGACTGCATAGTACCCAGGCTCTGTGTGTGTTGGGGCTATGCAGGCCTGTCTGTATCAAGCACCACTTTACTTGGCACAAGTAAAGAATACCATCTTAACACTTAATACCGTTTATCTTAACACAATTTCCTTGTTTCTTTTTACAAATTTGCAGCCTGGTTTAATTGTGTCACATTTGTGCACATACCAGCCTGATAAAATACACAATTAAATCAGAAAAAAAATGTGACTCTTATATGGTTCTACATGCCTCACAACTGACCTTTCTGTTCTGTTATTCCAAACTATCCATTGCATTACTGCATGTCATGTAGTTTATGAACATATAAAGAATACCATCTTGATGTTATGTTCACTGGGCAGTGCCACCCCAACGCACTCTGCTTGTTTTAATGCCATTTTCATTCATTTATGTGCAATTTTGTTTTATAGCAGAACACTTTGTTCCTCATACAGTCAATCATCACTAGTTATGTAATTATGAAAAATAAAATTTCAGCATTTCATTACTTGAATAGTTACAATTGTAAACAATGCTAAGAATAATAAATGTTACAGAACGCGTAAAAGCTCTTTTCACATTTTACAAGTATTTATTCAGAGCAGAAGCTAACTGAGGTATTGAGAATGAAATGCTTTAATGAAACTCTGTATCCTCGCTGACATCAAAGGGTTCGAGGAACGCATTTTGGCCACTGTACAGCGGGTTAGGAATCGACATCAGGGTTGGACTGCAATCACCTCCGGCTGCTGTATCGTCCTCTGCATAGTCCTGGACAAAAAAAGAACAACATTCTTGGTGTTAAAGGAAAGGTATACCTTAGTGGGTCATGGCCCCAATTTTTTGTAAGGTCAGACTTTTTGGGGTTTTTCTAACAGCGCATGAAGGCATTGTGCACTATTTTTTGCAAAAGTAAATTATGTTAATATTTTTTTTTTATTTGGGTCGTGACCAAGGAAGAATGTGAATCCTGAGGCTAAACCAGTTGAGAACCACTGCCCTACTGGATGGTTTCAGGAGACAATAAATGACTCAGTATGTAGTGCTGTAGAGAGAAGGACAGAATCAACACCAGTATGTGAAAACTTCACCTGATCTTTCTATGCACGGAGTGGTTGTCACCCAGAACCGTCTTAACAAGACGCAGCTGTTACCCATTAGCACGTTTTCCACAGCACTTAAAATTCTACTGAACAGAACAGCAGGCAGTCGTCGCTGCGGATGGAGATAGAACCATTCACACTCCCTGCTGCCATAGCCACAGTCTGTGAAGCTGGTGTGATTTCGGGTGGAGGGTGGCTGTGTTGAGTCGAGCCTGCGGCGGTGCTTTGTGTTTTGATCCCCCGATCTGTTTTTAATATTTCGTTACGCAATCCTCCAGACAACCCGCTTGCGTTACATGATCTTAACCCAAAGAAAGATTTTTTTTTTTCTGGTGATCTATTATCTTTTCCCAGTATTTCTCGATTTGTGTTTCCGCAGCCTGGTTAGCTGTGTATTTTTGCACCATTGAACAGCCAGTTATAAATGCAAAGGCCAGTACAGAGCAGAGGGGGGTTTTTCTTACCTTAAAGTACTGAAAGCGGAAGGGGTCATTCTTCTGTTTAAAGATGTAGTACCCCAGTCCAGCAATCAGGACCACGAGGCATATCGTGAAGACAGACGCTAATATTGCCTTCTTTGATGTGTAGGGAGAGGCAGGAGCAACTTGGGGCAACACCTGTATCACAGATTAGTTAGTCTCTGTTTATTTTTATATTTTTATATTATAAACCCACCCATGTTTTCAAAGTTTAAATATTTTATTTGGTTTACTTTTTGTCTTCTCCTAAAATGTCTGGAAGGTACAGTATTGTGCAAAAAGTCATAGGCAGTTGAAAATGTTTTACGTTTTCTAGGGTAATAGTATATTTACTCCAGAAAAATAACTTAACAATAAAACATAATAAAATATAAAAAATATAAAAATTTAATTCACAAGAATTTATCAACTACAGAAGCCAAGAATGGCCGTGCTTTCAAATTTTTTTTTAATACTGTTATCTTGAGATAATGAGAGAATTATACATGTTTTCATTTTAACACATGAGAATATAGTATTTTGATAATTAGACCTAATTCATACTGACTTTTAATGCCATACACTTATTAGCAATTGTTTTATACGTCTTGCCAAAAAATCAAGCCTTTCTGTGTAGTAGTTAAATTCCACCAGCTCACTTATTTAATACATTTAATTGGTTGGAAGCAAATAATTGTCCAAATGAGTTATTGATTAGCCAAACAATGTATGATAGTGGTAGAGTCAAAAAATACATGGGTATACTAGGTGAAGGCTGCAAATACTCCGGTGACATTAGGAAAGTTGCTGAAATGGGTAAAATAACAGACTTTGACAGACATTTCATCATAGTTTACTACCAATGTTCGTTTTCTTTGTCTAAGACTTTTGCATACAAAGTCTTACTCCAGCAACACACTCCAATCCAAGCCAATAAAAATTGATGAAGTAGTTTAAACTAGAGTGATACAAACATAATTGTGAAATGAATAGACTGTTGCTGACTTTCTTCACCCTTCAGACATTTGGGACAATATTATCTTATTAAAGCTACTGACCTATGTCGTGAAGATATGAGGCAAGCAGGATCTACTGATACTTACTGGGGGAGGCGGAGCTTTTAAGGGTCTGTCAAGGACATGGATGATTCCATTGATTGCTAGGATATCCCAGTCAACTATCAGCCTCTCGTTTACCAGTTTGGTGTCTTGGGATGCCTGGGCGAAAAGAAGAGCATTATTAATATATACAATTCATTCCTCATTCCACTGAATATGATGTCCACTGAATATGAAGTCAGCACACAGATGGGGTAATCTACCGTAAAAGAAGACACCACTACTGTGAGATTGTAGCCCAGTTGAGAAGCGATAATGTCATTGTGCTTCAGATCATTGTAGAAGTGAATGCTGTTGTTTGCAGAGATATGATACTCCAAATCCCTCAATGACAAAGTCTGAAATGAGGTTAGATTATTACGTCAAACATTCCACCAACAACATTTACCATGGAACGTCCTTGATGTTCTGCTAAAGAATTGTACTAAGTCCATCACCTCATTATAAAATCCTGAATTGTGTGGCACAAACAGCGTTACAGGCGATCCATTGGCTGACAGCAGAGTCAAGACGTCCTGTCCCTCTGCAGAATCTGAGTAGTTCAGCAATATCTAACAGAAAGGAAAATGCAATGCAAGAGACATGAATAGCCACAATGTTAATTCAATAAATAACTACAAATATCTTCTACAAATCTCATAGACATTAATAACATCCATGAGTATATACAGTATCAAATACAGATTGTAATATACATTATATATACTTTATCTGCATAGTGTACTCACAGAATAGAACGTAGAGAAATTCGCATTTGTGGCCACGACGCTTGCCAGGTCTCCATTACAATTGTACCCATCTCCTATGTATTGTGAGCCACACTTGCAGGACACATCTAAAAAGACAGCTTGGCAAGTCAAGCTCAACCTTCATTATGGAAACAAAGGGGACATATTAATGGAATGTGGCTAAGCCTCTAGAACTCCACTGTACCTTTCATCCGGTAGCAGTATGCATCATATTTGCTGGTCGCAGTCGGATTGCTGTACAGGACAATGCCCACGTGATTGTCACCACATTTAGTGGAAGGGGACGTGATGGGGTAGCCGATCTGGGTGCCATTCATCCATCCGGCCATACACAAGTGCATCCCGAGCTAGAAATAACCAGTGCCACCATTCACTCGCATTGCAGTGCATCTTATATGCACAGACACTAAGTACTGTATATAGATCTATGTTTTTCAACCCAATCCATAGGGACCCCAATACAGTCCACACCTGGCCCTCCCTGCACACCTGAACCAAACAATCAATAATAATAATTAATATGTTATTGATCCCCATTGGGAAATTCTCTTTTTGCCTACCCCAACTTGCTCTCTATAAGGGAGAACAAGCTGGCTGCACAGCCCCCCACGGGAACTAGGGGATAAGGGCCTTGATCAAGGACCTACAGATGTGCCAAGGCCAGGCTCGAACCGGCGATCTTTTGATCATAGAGGCTTAGCCCACTGAGCCACATGCTGTGCCTTTATCAAGAATCAAGAATACCTAATACCAGATACCGGTGTGCTGGGAGCTGGGAGGGAGCAAAAATGTGGAGTGTCTGGGAGGGAGCAAAAATGTGGACTGTCTGGGAGGGAGCAAAAATTTGGAATGTCTGGGAGGGAGCAAAAATGTGGAGTGTCTGGGAGGGAGCAAAAATGTGGACTGTCTGGGAGGGAGCAAAAATTTGGAATGTCTGGGAGGGAGCAAAAATGTGGAGTGTCTGGGAGGGAGCAAAAATGTGGACTGTCTGGGAGGGAGCAAAAATTTGGACTGTCTGGGAGGGAGCAAAAATGTGGACTGTCTGGGAGGGAGCAAAAATTTGGACTGTCTGGGAGGGAGCAAAAATGTGGAGTGTTTGGGAGGGAGCAAANTGGGAGGGAGCAAAAATGTGGACTGTCTGGGAGGGAGCAAAAATTTGGACTGTCTGGGAGGGAGCAAAAATGTGGAGTGTTTGGGAGGGAGCAAAAATGTGGACTGTCTGGGAGGGAGCAAAAATTTGGAATGTCTGGGAGGGAGCAAAAATGTGGACTGTCTCAGGGTCCCTGAGGACCGGGTTGACTAACACTGCACTAAGTATACAGATTAAAGAGAGGTTTTATTTGCTTGTATTTTAGGTAGTTTGCAAATGGATTTTGGACATGCAAGGGAAACTTAACATAGATACTTTACAAAGGGGAGGTACCTGTTGAGCAGCCGACAGCTGGGAGAGGGTGGCCAAGGCGGCTCCCTCATCTTCACACGCCGCTTTGGCCTCTGTGTAGTTCAGCTTGTACTTTCCCGCAGGTGATCTCAGATGAAACACCCCCGCAGTGTTTTCTGGGTCACATACATCAGTACAGAGAGAGAGGGAGAGATCTCACAGAGAAAGCCGGAGAATCCAACAAACAGCCCGGCTCGTGTGCGCTCCAGCTGCTCCTCTTCACTAACATGAAGCGGCGCGTCGGCACGTTCGAGGTCGTCTTACCGTGGAAGTGCAAGTCCTTGCAGTCTGCTTTTGGGTCACAGTCCCCATTGTCTTCCAGACAGCGGTCAACAGGGGGCACCATCTGCTCCAAGCACTGGATGCCATTTCCGACAAAGCCAGGAAGACACTCACAATTCCTTTCATTCTGAATAAAAAATATATGTATATATGGTTATATGTATAGGAGTCCATGAATGGTTCAGGTCATGCATTCTACAGCTTCTTCACCCTTATAGCTCTTATTGCTGCCTCAGTATCTCCTGCTGGGCAGTGAAGCCATGATGTGAAAGTGCAACAAGTCTGCATAAATTTAAGACAGGACAGCTACTTATACAAAGAAAACAACGTATAAAGCAAGATTTTTCTTTTTATGGGGGGAGGGGTCAAAGTGGGTTGGGAGGGACATCGAATCATATTTTTTTTCTTATGTGGGGTCCCAGGACGCCCCATATCCCCCTCAACACAAACACTGGCTGCAGTTACACATACTAGGTCATTCAGTGCTATGGCCCGCAAACTGCAGAATTCTCTAACTCCGCGCTTCTAAACCCAGTCCTCGGGAACCTCCAGACAGTCCGTGTTTTTGCTCCCCCCCAGCTCGCAGCACACCTGCCTGGGAGATCCCCAAGGGCTGGCTTAAGAAACACTGCACTACCACAATCTCTCCATGAACGTTCTTACATTTCATCTTCCGTTTTTCCATTTTTTTGTACCTGCTTGTCCTGTTCGGGACCGCAAGGGGTCCAGAGCCCATTCCAGAAGCTACAGATACGAGGCAGGGAATGACCCAGGATGGAGTGCCATCGCAGCACACACACACCGTTCAAAAAATGTAAGATTCTAAAGATGAAATGGGGGTGGGTATTACCTACAGGATACTCCAATTAACCTCAGCATGTTGCTGGTCTGTGGGGGGAAACCAGAGTACCTCGGGGAAACCGCACAACAACACAGGGGTTTCACAGAGGGAGAATATGCAAACTCCGCACACAGGGAGCCATGGTGGAGACTTGAATCCTGATCCCAAAAGAACGAGGCAACAGTGCTAACCACTACACCACCGTGCAACCTACCAGTTCATCTTTTAAACCTTTATTCAAAATGTTTCTTTTCACTCAACCCTTCTCTTTCTATCCATTGTTTATCTCAGTTTTAAAGCAACCATGGATTTGTGACACAATATACGAGTCCTTTGGGATATAAGCAATAAAACAATGCTATATTAATAATGCCAGAAATACTAATTTTCTTAATATTTCCGAAGTGAATGACTTTTAACATAACTGACTCACTGGACCAGTAAATATGCACGTGGCGAATTCACTGCAGCCACCATTTTCCTCCATGAGACATCTGTTGATGGCGGAGCAGAAGACCCCGTCACCGGTGTAGCCAGACCGGCATGAGCAGCTGACATTGACGCCGGTCTGGGTGCAGTTCGCGTACATGTGACAGCCGCCGTTATGGTCACTGCACAGATCAGGGGCTGTCCACATAAAGAAATACCAAAGATAGTGTCAGCGAGACTGCTGCTCATTCATCCCTGCTAGGCATGAGAAACGACACATACCGGTGCAGTTCCAGCCATCCCCTTCATACAATAAGTCACACTGGCATGTATTGTGGGGTTGACACACTGCATTGGGGTGACATTCTGGGGTGCAAACAGGTATCACTTCTGTAAAATAAAAATAGGCAAAGATAAACATTACTTCTGTAGCCCAGACCCTATCCCATAATATTCAACAGGCCATGGTATGGTGCAGAAAGGGGTAATGAATTCTTGTATACAGGGGCTGCTCCATATCATTGGCTAATTGAATTATAGCCCCTCTTATTACACCCCCCCCCCCCAAAAAAAAATCAGAGAATCGCCCCTGTTTTTACCCATCTCAACCTCACAGTGCGCCCCAGTCCAGCCTTGGCGGCAGAAGCAGCTCCCGCTTCCCTGCATGCCATCCTGACATTCGCCGTGGACCGTACAGGCGCATTCTGCAGGACAAACACCAAATCACTGCCACCTTGTGTGCCTCATTAGGGGTAGAGCTGAGCGCACATGCTTGTGCAAATTAATTGAAACAAGTTGTCGCATCTACATGCAGACAGACTGACCACAGTTAAGACTGACATCACCGTCACACTGATTCATACTTATCGCCTCGGGTCCAGATTTTAGATCTTGTGGTTTGATTGGTTTGAAAATTGTATGGGAATAACTCAGGATGGGGAGTCAGTTCATCACAGTGCACAAACACCATTCATACCTATAGGGAATTTGGCAACTCCAATTAACCTTAGCATGTCTTTGGACTGTGGGGGGAAACCAGAGAACCTGGAGAAAACACCGTGAACAGGCGGGTCTGTGACCAGCGCCTCTGGCTGCAGGACCGGATGGCTGTTTGTCTATGCTGGACTACCTCCACCTCCCCATTTCCCTCCCCTGTTGCAAGTCACGACTTTTTATGTTGTAAGGCGTAGTAACTATGTGTTTATGTTGCTGAGGTGTTTTTTCTGTTCCTACATTGTACTCCCTACTGGAGTACAGTCTGGGGGCTGTTTTTTTATTCTCCTCCTCTCTCCCCTCATGTAATTCTGTTTTCTCTGTTCTTCCTATATCCCCCATCTTCCTGACCTGTCTACCCCCTATAATGTGATGTTTGTATATGTATGGTCAGGTTGATGGCTAGTTTTTCGCTGGTACTTGTGACTAGTGACATGGTGTATTGCAACAGCAATAAAGGTTTTCATCATCACCATCATAACAATACTGGGAGGTGCCCAACCCCCCAGAGCATTCACTGGAAACATACATGGATGGCTGCAGCACAGTCATACCTAGCTCTAACCCCACCCGAGCAGGCCTGCCAGTCTGTGGGCACAGTGCCTCCTCTGTCCATCCACTCAGCTCTAACCCCACCCGAGCAGGCCTGCCGGTCTGTGGGCACAGTGCCTCCTCTCTCCATCCACTCAGCCCTAACCCCACCCGAGCAGGCCTGCCGGTCTGTGGGCACAGTGCCTCCTCTCTCCATCCACTCAGCCCTAACCCCACCCGAGCAGGCCTGCCGGTCTGTGGGCACAGTGCCTCCTCTCTCCATCCACTCAGCGTACTCTCTGCCCTGTTGGCTGTGCAAACCAGCAGGTCCCAGGCCACTGCATGTATGTTTGTATGACAACTTGTTTCAATTAATTTGTACAAGGGTGTATAACTCTGGAACTACACCTGTTTGTTTATTGCGCATTCTGCTTCCATGCTCATTTGTACAATCCCTCTCAACCAATTAGGCAGTTGTATTTTTTGTCCATGTCTTAAAATTACTGTTTAAAACAGGGGTGGACAATCTTATCCGCAAAGGGCTGGTATGTATGCAGGTTTTTGGGATAACCTTTAGGTCAGCTGTTCAAACCCAGGTGTGAGGACTCTTCAGCCAATCAGTCCTCTAATTAGTGACCTAATTAGGGAGTTGCAGCAAAAGCCTGCATACACACCGGCCCTTTGCGGATAAGATTGGCCACCCTTGGTTTAAAATGTCTCAATATTTATATCACATTTATAACATTCTCATCTGCACTCTGACCTATGAGAATGATACCTCATTTTATGCATCGTAAATCTGAAGCTGACAAAAAAAGATACTTTGATTTTGACTTTGATCAGTTGGAAATGGTTTCTATTTCAGAGCCGAAATGGATGCCGCTCAGTCTAAGGTGTGGGGGTTCAAAGAATTTAATATTTCATATTGCAGGTGAAATAAAAGATTGGTCAGGTTGATTAACTCCTGAAGATGACGGGGCTTGGGGGAAAATATGTAATCACACTCTTGGGGCTGAGATAGAATCATGTGTGAGAAGCTGAGGCTTAAGGAGCCTGGAGAGGTGAGAGCCACACACCTCTGCAGTCGGGACCGTAGTGGTTGGGTATACACAACTCGCAGGCGGTGCCTCTGAAGCCAGCGTCGCACGTGCAGTTCCCAGTGCCCTGCCAGCCATCATCACAGGCTCCATGATTCCCACAGGGAGCCTCCAACCCCCCAGCACACACTGAAATGTGAAGGTATAGTGAGCTCCTCCCTAACAGTCACACCTTAGAGCAGCGTTCCCCAATCCGGTCCTCGGGGACCCACAGTCGCCGCATGTTTTTGCTCCCTCTGGAAGCTGGGAGGGAACAAAAATGGGGGCTGCCTATGGGTTGCCAAGGACCGGATTGGGAAACAATGCCAACACTGGGCGCATTCACACACCATTCATTCATTCACACATTCACACCTACAGAGAGTCTAGTAACTACATCTTAGCATGTTTTTGAACTACCAGAGGAATCCCCAAGAGGACATGGGGATGCACAGATGTACAAAAGGCAAATATGGAATCTTGCTCTTGAGCATATTCTTTATATAATCACCAGAATACACATATAATAACAACATACTTTTCCACTGCACTCCTTTATTTACAATTAAAGTAAGTGGTGAATCGACGTCTCTTTCTTACCTTGACAGTTTCTTCCATAGTGGTTTTTGCAACACTGGGGAGTCCAATCTGACTTTCCACATTCTCTGCTACACCCAGTCTGCCTTCTACTATTAAGCCTATGGTATATGTCATAGCTGAGCCTGTTGTACCGATATCTGGAATACATCGGCAGCGTCGAGTACCTGTTATACATGCACGTCTTCGTGTTGCTCTGGAAGATCAGGCACATTGGGTTGAGTGTTTAGGGCGGAAATTCCACGTGGCATATGTAGATGTGCCGCCACGTAAATACTTACAAGGAATGTGAATCCATATGGACAGGAGGGTATAAACATACAGGTGCCGCACCTACCCTGAGAGGGACCCAATCAAAAGTCTTACAATAAGCAGAAAAATGGTCATTTCATTTATTACCTATCCAGTAGCACTGTGCTGTGTTTTGCATTGTAAATTTTGGGAACCCCCCTCCCCCCACCATGCTCCCACAAACACTCAGTGTTCTATCTAATTTTCAGACTGATGTTCAATCTGATGCATATCTATATAGATGTATATCTTCATTATTTAATAGTGCTAAATGTTTCACGAGAAGGTGAGGGCCGCTCACCTGAACCTTTGTCTCTTTGAAGGCATCACAACGTGCTCCTAGATCGGGAGGCTCAAGGAGCTCGTCGATGCCATGGGCGATTCCCACATCAAATTCCAGGTTACGACTGATTATTTTGGCATTTCCATTGTCAACCACAATGCCTCCCTAGAAGAGGAAAAGAAAAAACTTCACTACATGACTTCACAAAATGACCATTCATTTAGAAATAGGCCAGAGACATTTAGAATCGCATGTTTTTAATAATACAATAACAATAATTCATATTAATATATTTATTACTTACAACTAACTGTCTGTCACAGCTGAAAGTAACAGTTGAACCATACATGGTCCTGACACTGTCATCACTGGGGAGATTCACTGCTTTGAGCTGAAATGAAATAACAAAGGAGTTCATCTTTCAATAGCTAATCTCACATTTTTCAGCCGGGAGGGAAATAACTTCAATATCTCGGTATCTAGTTAATGTGAAGACAAACCACAATGAAAGTAAAGGAGTGGCCGCACTGTCCATTAGGCTTCCTCATACAGATACATGAACAGATGCTTCTGTTTTGTGAGATCTTCTTGTGCATTTGTGGTTGGCCTGGTGGATCGCACTGCCAACACGGTGGGCTGAAATCCAGCTTCCAAGAAAATGCGAACAGGCTAACTGATGTATCTAAATTGGCTGTAGATTATGTTTACGTGTGTATGTGCCCAGTGATGGACTGGCACCCTGTCCAGGATGAACCCCAACCTTGTGCCCTATGTTGCTGGGATGGGCCCCAGGCCTTCTCACAACTCCGTCAGGATAAGTGGTGAGAAGATGGGTACTCGTTTTGGCAATCTGGGCAATATAATCAGTAAGTCATTTAACTACCACTGACATTACCGGTTCACTGAAAGGCTTGTAACAATGTATTATGTAACATTGCCGCGTTGTGTGATGACTATTATTATTAATGATAATTATTAATGATGATTATTATTATCAACAAACTCAACAGTGGTACCTCAGAACTCGAACTTAATCCGTTCAGAACTCTGGATCGAATCCTAAAAAGTTCGAGTTCTGATCGAATTTTCCCCATAAAGAATAATGGAAAATCCATTTAATTGGTTCCCAGCCCCAAAAAAATACACCGAAATATGTTTTTTTAGCATTTAAACACAAAATGAACCTGATAAAACAAAAAGAGCATATACTGTACTAAACACATCTAAGCACATTTAACAAAACAGTAATTTTTAAAGTAAGAAAATAAATGTATCCAAACAATGTGTAAAGTTAAAAAAAAAACAATGTGTCCTGCCCCGATCGTCCGCTCCTTCCGTGTGCCACGCCCCCTCGTTAACCCCGTGTGGAATCCCTGTGTGATCAGCTGTCCATCTGCGTTTTGCCTGCCTTACCTGTAATTAAACCCCGTATTCCCTGATACCCTGACGTCTGCGCCTTTGTCTCCGTTCCGTCCCCGCTGGGCACGACAACATTATTAAAATTAAATGTATTAATGGTTTATTATTCATATTAAAATAATTAATAAGAAATCTTTATTTTTAAAAGTATTTTATTATATAATAATAATTACTGTTACTGTCTATCATTGTCTAAATGTGTTTTTACTGTCTAAATATATGTATTCAGCTAGTGTAAACATACACGATGCTATCACAGCGAATGTGAGGCTGAGACTGAAGCATTACCCTTTGTTTCCAGTGAGAGACGTGCGGCGTGACTCATTTCCCCGCGCGTACAAGTTATCTTAGGTCGGCGTTCACGGTTTGACTTCTGAGATTCAGATCGAGTTCTAGGTAATTTTTTTCCGAACTGGTTGATTCAACTTTTAAGAAATTTGAGTTTTAATGAGTTCGAGAACTGGGGTACCACTGTATTATTATTATTATCATCATTGTTATTATTATAGTCATTCAATGTGTTACATTCTGTTAAGATAATGCTCTGTTATTACATAATACGTTGTTACAAAGGTTTGAAGTAAGAACGACTCACTTTGGTGCCACGGATGATATGAGCTTTGAGGTAAGCAGCCAGTTTATCCTTATGGTCAGCACTGTACAGCCATAATTTCCGTTCCTCAGGAAAGGAATTGAAGACTTCGTCAGATGGCCAGAGCATCGTGAATGGGTGATGTATTTGATTCTCGATCATGCTCATCAAACCAGCATCCTGTTGATATGCACAAGGATATATTTTTGATTTTCAAAATAACTGCTGTATAATGTAGACTTGATTTCTATTTTTTCATAAAACAGACAAATGCAGACAGATGAAGACACGTGCAAATTTACAATTATTTATGGAAAACAGCTACTAATCCAGGTAAAACTGATTTATTCACATAGATTAAATAATTAAACCATATATTGTTATAAATATTATATCAACTGATTCCCCTTTTCCCCCAGTTTTTAAATTATTTTCTCCCTGCTTTCTTATTCACATTGCAAATTATATCGAACATGAGATCAAAAACACAGTCCCCATTGCCAACAACAAGAACCTTAAAGTCATCGTTCACATCAGTGAAGGATGACTGAGCAGTACACAGTTTGGACACTATACCGGTAATAGGTCAATATTATTTAATATTCCATTGCATAAATTCCAGTGACAATCTCCAAATGAAGAAAGGAGCGTGCTGCAGTTGTGTGACATATTTAAGACACCCACTGGTAACATTTCAGCCATGTGACCTTATACTGGCTGCTGGGAACTGCACAGTTCTTGGATAGAGGTTGTTGTACCTGGAGCAGCTTGCTGAAGATGTGATACCCATAGGCTTCTGCTGCAGCTGTGATGTTCAACTGCGGTTGGAGAGGCACAGAATTACAGCATTTAGATTGTTTTATGTAATTAGCATTACTATTAGAGCACTGAAACAGTTATTGGATTTTATATACTTGTCAATAATCACAGAATAGGTTTGTCAACACACATGCTCACATTTTGGTTATTGTTTCTCTACTGTCAAAATTTTCAACGTTCAGAATAAACCACCACAAATTTAATTATATTTCAGTATTACATTACACTGGTATTATTAAATCTTAGTTGCACTGAAGATATTTTCTGCCTAATCCTTAATCCACAAAATTTCTCATTAACGTATTAATCAAAGCTACGCACGAGGACGACTTACAGACGAAGATGGCAAGGTGCTTTTGTTCTGAAGGTCATAGGGGATCAGGACATTGTCAATGAAATGTATGATGCCATTAGCTGTGATGTAGTCGCTGGTGATGATTTTTGTTTTGTTGTTGATGTAAACAACATCCTGCCAGAAATAAGAAAGTAATCAAAATGGTTTTTTTTTTGTATCTTGAATATTGTTACCTTTTGAATTACAGACAAGGAGTACGGAGAGCACATAAACCATTCCACTCATTATGAAGTACCTCTCGGACATTGAAAGTCAGCTGGTGTCCAGAAACGGCGACCACCTTGTCGATTGACTTGAGGCTGGATACATCCAGTTGCTCACAGCTCACTATGTGGTACCTCAGCAGGTCTGCAGTTCGACTGGCATTGTCCCAAGCTGCCTGCTGACACAAAGAGGCATCAGAGGTCCCACTGGTATATCGAGAGACGAGGCCCGGAACACAACACTCTCAAGGTTGTTCGGTTCAAACATAAAAAAACAGATTAACTTCACTCTTTGAAATGTCATCAGTCATTCCATGGAATCTGCTTTGGTAACAACTCTGGTCTAGATGCTTGCATCAGGCACGTGCAGAGGGGGGGGCGGAGGGTGCCTGAGCACCCGCCCCTTTCCTCCAGGATGCCTCACGTGCCCTTTTCTTGGGTTTTTTTTTTTTGTTGTTGTTGTTGTTTGTTTTTTTTTAATGTGTATGTGTGTATGGAGCCCTGTCTTTGCCCCTCAACAATAAAATGTAACTATTAATCTCAATTTTGCTAAATAAAAGGATCTGGCTTGCATCAGTCACATGACTGCCATTAACCAATGCTCGCCCTTGAGGGCAGAGCGCGCTCGTTACGAGCCGGGTACGAGCTCGCAAAAAGTGCACGCGCATCTTCTGCAGGCTGGGTGGTGCGGAGCTGGAGGAGAAGCAGGCAAATTAATTGGAAGGTGCAGACTGCAACAAAACAGTAAATAGGGTGTACAGTGCACACTACAGTCTATAACAACAAATGAATTGAAATAAATGAGCAGCGCGACAAACATTACCTGTCCTTTTATGAACTGCACAAGTAGTGGTGGTCATTAACTGCTAGCTAACTGGGTAAGGGTGTTACAAGGGGGTCTGTAGCTCTGTCCACCGTTTTAGGGAACATGTTTTGTTTTAAAGTAAGTTACAGGACTTTTCCCTTCTTTTCTGGAGGGCTTTTATTTCACTAAAAACGATCTAATATGGATATCCACATAATTCCATATTAGATTCGTCATGAATGTGAGTTGTTGTTATTCAGCCTGTTCTATCTTTTTTAACTTTGAGCACCCGCCCCTTTAAACGTCTCTGCACGGCCCTGGCTCGCATAAATAACCAACTTAACAAATGATGAATGACGAGAACAGGAAGCCATACCGTAAAATTGTCACTGAAATATCCAGATGGGACAAACACCGTGAAAGGTCCGCTTCCTGATAATTCATTGAGCTTAGAAAGCTACAAAAACAGACAATGGTATGCAAAATTAAAATAATGTCTTAATGACATAACATCTTAGCACATTTTAAAAAAACAATACAGTTCTTATGGCATTCCTGATCTTCTACGTACCGTCAGTTTCCTGTTGAACCAGGATGCAACTGGGTGATGCATGATTTCCTACAATATTGAATGAAAAGACGTCACTAACAACCAGCCCTAGTATCTTCAATGAGAGCAAACTTGAGAGCGAAATGACCAAACTCACGTAAAAGATGCTCCCTTTGCAGGTTAAACCATCTCCTATAAAGTTGATTCTACACTTGCAGGTCCTCTCCCCTGGGCCTGAATACTCACACCAGGCATTCCTATCACAGCCCCCATTTGCCTGGAAGCAGGAGCCAGATCAGGCGGAGGTGTGCAGTACAGAGAGACGGTCATGTGTGCGGTGACACCAGCTTACCGTTCTGCAGGGGTTCACTGGGTAGCAGTAACGCCCATTTCCACTGTAGCCCATTTTGCAAATGCAGGCCGCCTGAGAATAAGAAGAACTGTCACTCCTGCCAAACTTCTCACATTAGTCAAAGTGTAAGCAAGGCATCGGTCTGTGGTGATCACAGACGTGAAAAGACGTCTTACTTGGCCAGGGCCAGTTTTAACGCAATCAGCTTTTTCGTGGCACCCTCCATTGTATTCTGAGCACGGGTCAACTTCTATAACCGAGAAACAGCACAAGGGCACATCAGATAGTCAATAACCCAATAACCACTTTGCGGAAGCTGTTGAGCTCAATACATATGACGCATTCTGCTACAGTTACCGACTACATATTATTTCTATGTTCAATTATAGTTAAGATAATATACCAGTATAATTTGCATTTGTAGAACATAATTTAGTAGGGTCCAATGTTAAGGTAATAAGGTTCTGAGTCATCACTATGGAATAAGAACATAAGAATATAAGAAATTTACAAACGAGAGGGGGCCATTCGGCCCATCAAGCTAGTTTGGGGAGAACTTAACTAATAGCTCAGAGTTGTTGAAATCTTATCTAGCTCTGATTTAAAGGAACCCAGGGTTTTAGCTTCCACTACACTAGCAGGAAGACTATTCCATACTCTAACTACACGCTGTGTAAAGAAGTGCTTCCTCAAATTTGTTTTAAAATGTTCTCCCGCTAATTTCCACTTACAGTATGGCCACGAGTTCTAGTATTTAAACTAATATTGAAGTAGCCATTTAGCTGAACAGCATCCAGACCTGCTAGAATCTTATATACCTGGATCATGTCCCCCCTTAGTCTCCTTTGCTCGAGGTTAAACAGATTCAACTCAGCTAACCTCTCTTCATAAGACATTCCTCTAAGACCAGGAATCATTCTTGTAGCCCTATGTTGCACCTTTTCCAAGGCAGCAATGTCCTTTTTAAGGTATGGTGACCAAACCTGCACACAATACTCTAGATGGGGTCTTACCAAGGAATTATATACTTGTAGCATCCCCTCCTTTGACTTAAACTCCATACATCTAGAGATGTAACCCAACATCCTACTGGCCTTTTTTATTGCTACCCCACACTGGCGAGAGTGGGAAATGGAATCATCAACATACACACCGAGGTCTTTCTCATAATCAGCTACCTTTATTTCAGTGGAACCCATAAAATATCTGTACTTTATATTTCTGCACCCTGCATAGAGTACCTTACATTTGTCTATGTTAAATTTAATCTGCCAGGTATCAGCCCAGTCGCTAATGAAATCAAGATCCCATTGTAGCCTCTGTCCTGTTAGATCAGTATCTGCTACACCACCCACCTTGGTGTCGTCTGCAAATTTAACCAGTTTACTGTATGTATTCGTGTCAATATCATTAATGTAAATTAGGAACAATAGTGGTCCTAAAATTGAACCCTGCGGTACCCCACTATGAATGCAGGCCCACTGTGACATTGTGCCTCTAATAGCTACTCACTGCTTCCTGTCTATTAACCAGTTTTCGATCCAAACTGCTACAGTTCCTAAAATTCCTGCAGCTTTGAGCTTAAGCAAGAGCTGTTTGTGGGGGACAACATCAAAAGGCCTTCTGGAAATCTAAGTAGATCACATTATAGACCTTTTTGTGATCAATTTCTCTTGTAGCTTCCTCAAAGAACTCAAGTAAATTAGTTAAACATGATCTACCTCTCCTAAATCCATGTTGACTATCCCTCAGAATGTTATTTGAATTCAGGTAATGTACCATTTTCCAGATTACCGTGTAATCATTTTCATGACTTTTCATGACTGTTACCAGTTATTGTTAATCATTGTTTATTGTAACTAGCTTTCTATCTATCTATCTATCTATCTATCTATCTATCTATCTATCTATCTATCTATCGACAGTATGCCATGTTTTATGGTATATGACGAGTAGGGTTTTATATGAAAAAATTACATTCTTCTCTGCAGGATAGTATACTTAATCCTTGCTCCAATGCACATGTGAAGCAAATCTTGACTTTAAATATACAACATCAGGTATTGATTTTTGGTTGTAGAAACGAGCACATACCCAGGCACACAAGGCCATCTCCTGTGTAGCCTGTCTGGCACTTGCAGAGCCTTTCCCCTGGAGACGTCTTGGTGCAGTTTGCAAATTCCGAGCAGCCGCCATTGTTGCTATCACATGGATTGATCTCTGTCCGGAAAAAGAGCCACATTGCAGGGTTTTCCCACCACATGTCCTGGGGTGCGTTAGCTTTTCTGATTCCGCTCAGTAACAGATATGCTAATTTAAACCATACTAGTAGCTTACTGGATAAAGTCTGTCATTTTAAGAAGGTTGTCCTACATACACCAACCCATATTAACCATATGACCCTAGCACCAACACTACACTAACCATGTTACACTTTTTCTCGATTGCTTTGGCACATTTCATGAAACATGCTTAACATTCTCAAGACTATAAGAGCAATTCTCAAAACAGTTTACGCATATAGCATAACACTATGGTTTGGCCGCAAAAGCCAACTTACTCAAAACAATTAACTCATGTCAAAAGCAAATAATTCTCCCAATGAATTAGTCAGTGCCATCACAATTAAGTATCATCATGACTATTGAGTTTGTTTCAATCGATAATAATGACCAATTTATCTGTGCAGATCTCGAACATGCAAAATCAAGCAAAAAAGCTTCTCACCTTTGCAAGATGTTCCGTTACCTTGGTAACCAGCGATACAGGAGCAAGTAGGAGCTGTTCCTGGTACTCCCGTGATACAGCTGAAAATGATATTGATAAAGAAAAATGCTGGCTTAGGCAACATACTTCATTCTAAATAAAAAGAAGTGCAAAGTGATGTGTGTCCTGATTCACTTGGTACAAGCCTGTTGACAGTCAGTTTAGCAGCAACAATTAGTTCAATTGTTGATCCTGATTACCTACGACGATGCTGAAGTACAACCTTCCAACTTACTTTGCAAACTGATGACAAGTGCCACCACATTCATCGTTCTTGATTTCTGTGAAAAATGGAGCTGGTTATGATGACCATATAAACAATAGCTATAGATTTAAAAATGGGTAAAGTGTTTTATTATATCAATAACTGCAAAACAAACAAAAAAAAAACCACTCATGATTTCTGTATTGTTGGGTGCTAACAATGGTGAGAACTGTTCCATAGTCCAAAGACTTGCGATTAGAGTACCAGTTGAAGAGCAAATTTCCAGAACTCAATCAGTTCACAGGATACATTTTCAAAAATACTTTCTGTGGATTTTTAGTTACAGTAACATATGATGAGGAAGCTGGATGATGGATGGATGGATGGATGGATGGATGGATGGATGGCTCTTCAAGCGGCATCTCTAAATTTCCTGCATGTTATAGACTGGCATCCCAACCAGGATGTATCTCAGTCTTGTGTCCTATGTTGACTGTGATAGGCTCCAGGAACCAAAGTGAACATGACCAAGATAAGCTGGATAGATGGATGGCTTAGATGGTGGATAGATGAATAGATCACAGTTAAATTCAAGCTGCAAGATCTGTCTAAAAATACAAATATTTAATATAACTGCTGTCCATTTTTTTCTGTTTGTAAAAGTGCAGATGCAACTGAATGAAAAATAGGGGCAGTCAAGGGTTTTCAATGTATCAGACAAGGAAAACTGAAAACACTCTATTCATACTCTGAGAAGGGATAGAGCATCTTATACATTTACAATGAAACTTAACATGACAGCATTTGATTACGATTCAAATGTGAAATCACTGATGTTAGTGCAGAAATTCACTATATTGCCAAAAGTATTGGGACACCTGCATTTACACACAATATATAGGCTTTAATATGGAGTTTGCCCACCCTTTGCAGCTACAGCTCTTCTGGGATGGCTGTTCACGAGGTTTAGGAGTGTGTTTATGGGAATCCAGACTCGTCTATCAGATTGCCAGACAGAGAAGCATGACTGCTCTAGAGTCCAGTGGCAGAGTGCTTTACACCACTGCATCGGACGCTTTGCATTGCATTTGATGATGTAAGGCTTGGATGCAGCTGCTCGACCATGGAAACCCATTCCATGAAGTGCCTCAGCATGCATTGTGGAATATTTAGTGGCGAGGAAATTTCACGAATGGACTTATAGCACAGGTGACATCCTATCACGGTACCACACTTGAATTCACTGTGCTCCTTAGAGCAACCCATTCTTTCGCAAATGTTTGTAGAAGCAGTCTGCATGCCTAGGTGCTTGATTTTATACACCTGTGGTTATGGAAGTGACTGGAACACCTGAATTCCATGATTTGGAGGGGTGTCCCAATACTTTTGCCAATATAGTGTACATTTCCAATCAGTTGCTCTTGGGAGATTTCGTCAATCGAGGTGAGGGTCCCCTCGATAGATTTTACCGATCGGGCTGAGGGTCCCTTCGATAGATTTCGTCGATCTCAGCGAGGGTCCCCCTCATTAGTTTTTATCACAATAGACCGGTTGCAGTTACAGTTACAATGGAAGTTCTTCAACTTTTATTAACATACTCTGGAATTCATCTCATGACCCCCCCTGCCAGTGCCTCTCCCACTTTGGGATCCCCTAACTTAGTGGACAAAGGAGATTAAATACAAATAGCACTGAAGAACCTTAAACTATTACACCCCACTTACCTACAGAACATGAGGGTCCTTTCCAGCCTTTATGGCAGAGACAACGCCCATCCCCGCTAATGCCGTCCTGACACCGCCCATGATCACACTGACAAACTAGAGAAGATACGGCAGTCAGAGCACCTCTAAACTGGAATACACCATAAGGGCCATATAATGACCTATAACATTTCTTCTACCTGGATGGAAAAAATTTCAAAAAGCAGTTAAACAAATCACTGTTCAAAGTCATCATCATTTTTGGTAGGATATACTGTGAGATAGGGCCTCCTTTAGGGTACGCTATAACATATACATCTGATGTGGTTTTGAAATCAAGCTTCAGCCATATTTCACTCAACAAGCCCGGTCTTTTACCCGTTCAAGTTTGACAAGGTTTCCACAAAAGTCTTGCAGAATGGATTACCTGGACAAAAGGGCTTTTCGTGTTTTTTTTATTATTTCATTATTCACTTGAACAGGGGTTACATGTCTCCCTGCTGTTTCCATGTAAGTCTCATATGGAAGCTAGTGTCATTCTTGCCACTGTACTAAACGCTTGTTCCATCACAACCCTTGTTTTGTGCACATCTGATTTTTCTTTTTTTCTTTGTTAAAACAAACATATTTAAAATATAAGGTAGCAACATTTTAAGGGCAACCTTACCTGATTTGCAGTCTGGACCGTATCTCCCTGGCTTGCATGTCTCGCAGGCGGTGCCGTTAAACCCCTCATCACACTCGCACTTGCCGCTACCATGGAGCCCGTCTAGGCATTTGCCGTGGTTAGAACACCACTTCTCCACCTTTCCTGGGCATTTGAGGCACATGGGACCAAAGTACCCAGAACAGCAAGAATGATCCTGAAGATAAAGGGTACAATAAAGATGGAATGAATATATGTTATTATATATGATATTGTTCTTGTTGTGCATCAGGAAACACAACCATTTTCGCATGTGCCATAAAGCATTAAATATTTGTTCAGTCCCTGGATTGATTGGGGCAGTGTGTGACTCAGCAGTAGTTTGCTGGTTCAAATCTCATGGTCAATACGGTGATGTCACTGTTGGGTTTTAAGCAGCGCACTTAACCCAAATTGCTCCAGGGCCTGACTGACTCTGCTTTCTCAGTTGTATGTCACTTTGGATAAAGGTGTCCGCTAAATGAATAAACATAGATTACAAGGGAACACTCAAAGGAAGAAAAAACTGAAAATTCACCACAGTTGTCTTCAGGCATTCCATGATACAGCCTGCGATGGATATTCTCTTGAATGCACCTCGGGACGTGTATTTGCAGTTGGGTTTCATGTTTGAAGGAAACTTTATATCCAGCTACAGACAATGGACAGCAGTCACTAACTTGAAACACCATGCAGCATGTTTTTTTTACAGGAATTCTATGTGAATTACTTTCAGATAAACAAATATGGAACTAACAAAATAAATAAATATAGTCCCCGACTCTGTACAGGATGGGCAGGTGGGAAATCAAAATCACAACACTGGAGGAAATTGTCTGTAGTTACAGACTGCACAGTACCCAGAAACAGACAAAATAGAAAATAAACAATGCCACATACAAATTCTATATAAAAATGAATAAGTATACATATGGTAATAAATTAAGTAGATGAGAATAAAAACAAATACAGTACTGAGGTAACAAATACAAAGTTGCCTGTAATTATCACACAAAAGAAAAACAGATAGAAATGTATATAATTAGGTAATATTGCACATGTGCCCAGTGTGATTCACTGGTTGCTGTTGGAAGCAATGACTTCCTGAGGTGCTCAGTGGAACATCATATGTTGAGGAGTCTATGACTAAATGTGCTCTTCTATCCAACCAAAACATTATACTGCTAAGAGGGTTGTCCCTGATTGACCCAAGTCTGGACAACATCCTCATCTCTGCAACAGTTTGAATTGTTTCCGATTCTTCCCCCAGAACCGACCCTGCTGATCAGCTTGTGGAGTCTGTTGGCATCTATCACCTTCACACTGTTAACCCAGCACACAATAGTGTAGAAGGTGGCACTGGCTACCACAGAGATGGATGGATGGATGGATGGATGGTAAAATTACAAATTTTAAATCTAAAAGTAAATTTAAAATCTCACCGGTTTGTCTTTGAAGAATGCACATTTGGGTTTCTCCTCACAAGCGCCGCACTTTCCCTGATGAACATAAGCAGGGAAAATATTTAATTTTAATCAAATTATATTTAAATACATCAAGACGAAGATATGAAATGCTTACCTTGGTTTTTATGGAAACCACCTTGTTACAGTAGTTTTTGTGAATTTCTAAAACGTGAAGAATGCCCGTGACAATTCCATCTTTGGTTGCATTGAAGTTTCCATTGAGAAGAACATCATTTGCGAAAATCTGCAAAGCAAGTTAAATCAAAATGTATACATCGCCTCCCCCTTTAGATTTTCATACCCAATAGGGAGACACGTTTCATCAGTCAGTAGCGATTAATGCATGAATGTACTGAGGAAAATTAGGGATTCATGAGTGAGATGTGGATAGTGTCCCATTGCCCATGTTGTTCTGTACCTCGCCTTGATCATTAGCGTGAAACATCATTTCATAGGTGGAGCCCAGTAGCGTAGCTTTCATGAGGCCATTTTTCAGATCCATCGGTGTGAGTACAGCATTGACAATAACATGGTATTTAACCAAATCTAAATCCTGAATGAAGATAAAACATTGTTTTTAAAACACCACCACCTTTCTTTGCTTTGTTTTTTTCTCATCATTTACAGATCATGTTTGGATCATTTGCACAAGACAAAGTGTGCTGATTTTCTTAACCATGAAAACATACCATTTGCGTGACATTTGTACTGTTGAAATACTGTTTGATGGCTTCATTTGTTGGTATGAGGATGGTGTATTTTTTCTCATGAATTACATTTGTCAGGTTGTAAAACTGGGGAGAAAAAAGGTAACATCATTACATATTGACAATTAATTCTATCAGTAAATTACCATAATAATATAAAATCATAACAATCACCCTGAGAGACTGATAATTCTGCAGCATACTGCATAATATCTTTATATCAGTTTTAATCAATGGAATGTAGCTCAAACTGAATTGCAGACAAGCAGGCCTGCTTATCAAATTAAAATCAAATCTAGTAGGAATTCAGCATATTGCAGCTTCCCTGTCTCAAGAATCAGTGTGTTAATGATAATCCTGATATCATACCACAATTGCTTGTTGGAAGAGGCTAAATTCTGGGGTACTGTTGAAAAACTCCATCAAGCCAGGGGGGTCCGGTGGGATGTCTGACAGGGGGGGTCTTAATACCTGCAACCATACATAGCATGCCCCATAGGAATTATCTGTTTAAGAACAAATGAGTTTTAGTGTAATGTTGAAGACTTCTGTTACCGTATCAATGATGTGGATGAATCCATTTGTGGCTTTTATGTCTGGTGCGACGATAGTGGCATTCTCCACCATGATCTCCTAAAAAGTTCACAATTACAAAATATTAATAACAATAACCGATGAAGAAAAAATGCATCCTACATGTTACATTGCCAAAGCATTGACATTTCAACCAATATGCGGTACTTAGTACACTGTCAGTTTTTGTACATGTATTTTGTATATATAGTTCTTCATGTTTCTCTACGACGAATTTTAATTTTACAGTTTATTATAAGAAGCCAAGATACAGTTGTTTGGGTTTGTTTTATTTTGTTGTTTTTTTTTCTAAATGAAATGTTGACGATCTTGATATGTAAACAAGAAGCAATTTTTTTACCCCGCTTTTATTCTTTATTTCCCATTTAGTTTTTTCGTTAAGTGTTGACAATTTTGTGTTGACTCTCTGCTCCATGTCCTCAAGGGTAAATACACCATCTAAAAAGTGCACCCTGGAACCATAAATAATTAAAGTCAGCCAAGTAGGACCCACTGTGCAAATGCCACCTAGGAGAATGCAATCTTAGACCTCTGAATTGCCTTTTACTCACTTAAGAAAGAATGGAAGTCTGAATGGGTCAAGCCAGAAGTCTGCCTCTGCTTTGCTTAAACTCCGAAAAGCCCTGTATGAAGGCACCAGGGCCGTTACATTTTCCAGGGTATCAAAATCAGTGGATTTCTGCATGAGGGCACAGGCATTGGGTATCAGAGTGAGTTTATACTACAGGTATTTCTTAACATTCTCCCTTTAGTACCACAAATTCATTTTAAAAATAAACTTGGGAACGTACCTGTATCAAGCTATAAAAATGAGAAAATTCTGTCCTCAAAACGAGTTCCTGAACAATACACATAAACAAACTTCATTAGATTGTTAAATAGTAATAAAAAGAAACTTGTCTCATGTATGTAAATTCCATTAGGCGACATGTTTACACAATGGCTCAGCTTCCCTTACAGTGTGTCGTTTCATCACTTGCAAACGGGTTTATACAGGGATAGGTACACAAGGAAGACAAGGTACACACTAGCCCCAGCTAAAGGCTGACTGGCCTCCAGAATTGCACCATCCCCTGTCATTCACTGATTCAAAAGATATCACTGGCTAATGATAAAGTTGGTTTCTCTGCATGCTCCCTCTTATGCTCCCTGTCACTACAGTATCAACTGTACAGTCAACTGTGGATGTGAATCATGCATGCGCTGCAAATCTGAGTCAATTGTATTAAAGTATTAAACTATTCAAGTACTGGACTGTAGACCATCTGCCAAACTTGCACCCTTATCAATTATAGAAACTTAAGGTCCATCTCATGTACTTGGACAAATTTTCATAAAAATGGCTGATTACCTTTAATTGTCTGGACTGACACTTGAGTTCAGTTGCTTTTGTATTTGGCTTTCAATGCTGGCGCATGCACGACACATCCAAGGTTTACATAGATCCTGTAGTGGCATTCCCAACATTAAAAAATTCTAGAGTCACCTCAGTCACTCACCATAAATAAGTCACCATAGCACACTTTTCCATTCCCAGAGAAGCCAGGGGAACAGGTACACACAGCTGTCCCATTCGACTGCAGTTTGCAAGCGGCCTAGACAGGGACAAAACAGCAGGTCTGACCTGAAGTGAACATCTGCTGATGCAAGATAGTTATTACTAGAGACGGCACCGGTCCAATGCTATCTATCGGTATTGGGCTATTAATGGCAAAAAATGCTGGATCAGACATGGAGGAGACTTGGATTAATGGGTTATCCGGATTTAATTGTTGATGATTTGCCAACATCCTGAATGTTTTGGTTCTTATTTGACAATCATGGTTTTGGTTATTTGCAAGTCATAAACAATTAAATGGGAATATTCTAGGACCTTGCCGATTGATGGCAGAACCCTGGAGACAACGAAAAGGCCAAAAACAATGCTGAAAATGATTTGAATGACATAAAATCATATACTATATAAATATTAGTGATACATAATATTTGCTAGTGTACACTATATCTTTATTAAAAGTCTTGGCTTGGCTATTGCATGCATCTTGGTCTGGTTAAGCAGCCTCACTCATGTGTTTGCTGTCTTTGTGACCATGGAATCTTGCAGTTTTTGCAGTATATTTAAAATTTTCAGTGCCATTAAGTTTGCAATTTTAACAATGAGTCCAAAACGTAGTGCTCCCAGTGCTTACATTAGTAACGTTGTACGTACAGGAATATAATTTAGATGTTCGCATATTATATAAAAAGGTCTTGATAAGAAATGACAATGCAACTTGATATGCAAAGTATACAGCACAGTGCTGTTTGTTTAGAAATTGGTAATAACTAGACGTTTATGTTATCATTCAGGCTAGCAGACTTTTGGGTTAAGGCTGGGGGGGCAAGCATTATTATTTTCACATTGGGGCCACCCCTAACCCTTGCAAATACGAAGAGGGTGTATTTTATGCTGAAGGAAGGAAAAAAAGCAAAACTGCAGAGTGCATGTCCATAAAGCTAGTGCTGATTTTTCTTAACTCCAAACACAGTAAAATGTATACAAACTTCAGTATTGTATTCTTTCTAAAGTTTGGTTAATTACTACTTAAGAGTTTCTTTTGTGCTCCATTGTATATATTGTACTGCAGATTTATGTGTACTTTTTGACTAGGAATAGTTAGTTGTGGTATACAGTAATATTTTTTATGACTGATTTCCTTATTATATTTCATTTGACAACAGATTGAAGTTTGCAGTATTATATATTTGTTCATTTTTGTTAACGTTTTTACTGAATAAAACAAGCAAGCGCACATCTGCATAAATCATGTTACCCGTGGATTTCCTCCTGTAGCATGCTAGCATGGCTTTTGTTTGAGCAACGTGTCCATTGTATTTTCCTGTTCTTAGCAAACTCAAACAATTCAGCTACAACACTACATGCAGACAGCTTGCCATCTCAATTGAAATGTACTGATAAAAATACTGGTATATCACTTAATCCCTAGTAGTTGGTAAAGGGGGAAAAATATTGGATTGGTATCAGCAGATACTCAAAATTTTTAAATCAGAATCAGACCAGAAAAAATTACCTTGCGCCATCTCTAGTTATTACATGTAACATGGAATGATATGTCAAAAGAAGGTGATTCTGATTGTCTTGAGAATGTTAATCACTTCAGTGAAAATAAAACAGCCAAATGAGCGAGCTGAAAGGAAAACATCTGACCCACTCAAGATATACACACCCCCAAGGCTCCCTAACGACCCCCACCCAATAGGAGATTCCTACCAGAAGTGAATGTCTTGTTAACTGTTGCTATTTATACCACGGCGCTGTTGAATTCTCAAATCTGATTGGTCAGAAAGGTGCTGATTCATTTTCTATAACCGGCCACGTAGTGCTAGTAAGGCAAATCAAAGTAGTAAATCAATGCGGTATTATAATACTTTAATTTTAACTAATGTGACTGAAAATTGTAGACATAAAACGCAATTTAAAATGAATGCAAATGAAACCAAAACGTTTAGTAATTGGCAGGAAAAAAAGTTCTATTATTAAATGCATTTTCTGAGTAGAAACATATCAGCCAAATGTATAGTGGCCGTGGTATAAGCAGGTTAACACAATCCAGGTTGTGTATTATGTATTTAATTGCACAGCTGCAGAAGCAAGGAACCACTTGACACGCAGCAGAGTGCATTAACCCTTACATAACTCTGTATATATTGCCTGCATTTTCCAGCCATTTGCAAACTTTTAGCTAGAATTGCTCAACTGCATAAAAAGGCATTTATTTCCATTTATTTCCCTATCTATCACACCTGCGTATGTGGTCCTCACTGTCAGCTGCTGTCAATATTGGTTTTATGTTGAACAGAACTAAATGCTAAAGTCAGGTTCTCTGTAGATGGTAATGCCTTCAATAGACAGAGCCGATTCTCAGGTTTAATCTGATCAGCAGTATTTATTCTGGTGAGGTGAAATGGTGGACATCTTATACAAACCAGGTTATGGCAGCCTCCATTGTTTGTGCGGCAGGGGTTGATCAAGTCACATCTGCGCCCATCTCCCATGTAGCCAGACTTACATGTGCACTTGTTCTGAAAAATTCAAAGAATGTGGAGGGGAATGTCGCTTACACTGCGTATGTATTGTACAACATACCCTGCACAATACATGATAGTCAGAATGTCAGAATATTCAAGCAAATAATACAATAACATTACATTTGTAGGACTGTAACTGATATTATAAATAATGATTTTTGTTTTGTTCATACAACCAAACATCATCCACCCACTACAGGGGGTCTGGAGCCGATCTCTAGCAGAGATACACCATTAATGGGATGCCAGTTCATCAAAAGACACACACACACACACACAATCGTGCCCTATAGGCAATTTAGAGATGCCAGTTAGCCTAATACCATGCCAAAGGACTGTATGAAGAAGCCAGTGGAGCAGAAGAAACCTGCATGACACAAAAAGAAAACGCAACCTGCCTAGAGGTGCCACCATTATTTGTACTTGAGGAGAGAGAGAAAGAGAGAGATAAGGAGTGTGCGCTGATTACACCACGTTGCTGCACCCATCACACGACGAACCACCTCAGGCATGAGAACCTGAGCGCAGCTGTGGGGTGGCCGGTACCTCAGCACCAGAATAATTAGAATGGAATGGAACAGTGTAAAGTTTTTCTCTGGTGGCTGGAGTGCCAATCCTGCCACCAGCGCCCAAATTTTCCCTGGAAGTTGGAGGACCTGCTTGCAGGGCTGGATGTAGATGAACGTCACACCCAGGACAAAATGTACATGAGCAGGGTTAGAAAGTCTGGGCCCCCTGACAAAATGTCATCTTGGGCCTGCTCTAACAATTCTCTTACAGAGTCTGCAAAGTCCCAACAATGCGTAAGAATTGTACCCTCGTTCTCACCATTTTAGATAGTGAATCACAGATTGGTGGATCATGGTTTCAAGTGGTGATAAATATAGCCTAGTCAGTGTCCATGGGATCAAGCAATTATCTTGGATCATTTAATCCAGCATGGCTAATCCAATTCTCCCGTGGCTTTGAAGCACCAAAATAACCATATCCACATTTAGACAATCCAGAACGAGTCCTCTGATCTTGGATGTTTTAAACCAATTTTTTATTAAGAATACCTCACTGGGATTTCTAAAATGGGGGAGAGAATTTTCGGATAATGTTTGCAAAATGTTCAAATGTTTTAACTATGACTGCAAGCATTCAATTGCGATAAATTGGTGAAATCTACATAGGGGGACCCCCTCCCATCAGTGAACTCTACCGAGGGGGACCCCCTCCCATCAGTGAACTCTACCAAGGGGGACCCCCTCCCATCAGTGAACTCTCCCAAGGGGGACCCAATCCTATCAGTGAACTCTACCGAGGGGGACCCCCTCCCATCAGTGAACTCTCCCGAGGGGGACCCCCTCCCATCAGTGAACTCTCCTGAGGGGGACCCCCTCCCATCAGTGAACTCTCCCGAGGGGGACCCCCTCCCATCAGTGATATCTACTGGGGGGAACCCCCCCTCCAATCAGTGAAAACTACTGAGCGGGACCCCCTTCAATCAACGAAATCAACTGAGGGGTACCACTTCCAATCTGAGAAATCTATCGAGTGGGACTCTACCCCCATTTGGTCAGCAAAACTGGGGGCTGAGTATGGCTGGCACTGTTATTTTGGGGGTCGTGGGGACAGTAATGTAAATGTACTACATAACAGATTCTTTGGAAGTGGAGAGGTGAAGGTTTTGCTATGGGTGGTGACACAAGGAGGGCTAAGTGGGAAAAGGAGGAAATCCAGCTGGTCCCTGAAGCTGGTACCTGACCGGGGCCGGTGGGCTTGCAGTCCGCTTGGAGGTGACAGCCCCCTCTGTCATTCAGGAGGCAGTTGTTTATTTCAGTGCAGACCAGCCCGTCGCCCATCCAGCCTTCATTGCAAATACACGAGGTGTTCCCTGGGCCAGCATGTACACACTTGGCCTGGTGGGGGGTGGTGGGGGGGGGGCAGATACAGTCTGATTGGTGCAAATTAAAAGGAACAACAGCAGCAGGTGCTATTTTGTAATGTCATGTACGGCTATATGAATTTACATTTAGATTACAGCCGCCCCTGTCAGGTTTGAGGCAAGGGTTGCTAGGGAGACAGGAGTATCCATCGCCGTCGAACCCTGGTTCACAGATGCAGCTGCGATTCACAAAATGTGGAAATGGCATTAGAGAATCATGGTACAGAGGGACATAACCACAGCCATTCCGATTCGGAACAAATGTTGTCTAGTCACGGTGTAAATGTGAAGTACAGTACTGTGCAAAAGTCTTAGGCAAAGAAATTGTCTAAAAGCTACAGTATTTATCGGAGTAGTATGTGTACATTTGCTCCGACAAAAACACAATTTAACATTAGAGCACATGCAAATGAACAGAAACGCAATAAAAACCAACAAGAATTTCTTCTGGTGTTGGATGGCTAGATAAACACCACTTCAGTTCCCAACCTCTCCCCACGGCACCTGAGCCGTTCCATGTATTTGTTAAATTTCACCACCAGCTCTCTTATTTTAGTACCTTAATTAGTTAAATAACTTGACGTATTTATTAGCTAAACAATGATTGAAAGTGGTCATGTCAAAAACTACGTGTGTATATTGGATGGTTCCCGCAAATACTAGAGTGACTTTATGAGAGGTTTTGAAATGGCTGCCACACTTTTACAGACATAATATCATAGTTGCACACCAACACAACATCATTTTCTTTGCTTAAGACTTCTGCACAGTACAGTAAATTGTAAAATGCAGCATTGGGCTCTGGTAGATGATCTGACATCCCAGATGTATACATTTATCTTGATGACCTGACAATAAAGATCTGTTGGTTTTGACGTGAACTTGCCTTGATGTCCCATTCTCGAAACGATGGCAATAACCATTGGGGTGACATGTGGCAGAGCATTGAGTGAGCTCCTGCTCACAGAAATCACCATGGTACCCCTCCTGGCAGGACCCTGCCCGACACACCCCATTGCTGTTCGGCCTGTTGTCGCAATTTCCATGCACGCATCGGCAGTCTGTGGACAGATGCCACACGCGCTCAGCGGCTATCAAACCGTGCCGTATTCTTAGTGGTGACCTAATGCAGCTACATCTATCTCACGTACCTTCATTACAGTTCTCTCCATGCTTTTTCGGGTCAGAGCAGAGGTGGCAAGCAATTCCTGTGAAGCCTGGGATGCATTTGCAGGAGCCATCGCCATTAATGCCATCATCGCACTTTGGGAAAACAAGTCAGAGTTTCCAGATGGACAAACCAGACAAAGTTACCACCACAACACAGACAAGTGAGCCTAGACTAGATACAGTTATAGTTGCTCTTGCCACAGAATTCAAATAGGCAGAAACTCTGGGCTGAGTATCTTTACCCAAATGGGTAGTCTTACTTACAGTCCCTTTGCCATAACAAGGGGTTTCAAAACCACCGATGCAAGGTTTACAGTCAGGTCCGTAGAAGCCTGGGCAGCAGTCTGGTTGCTAGGAAAACATAAGAAGGACCAAGCCTGTCACTAAAAATCAGTGCTGCAAAAAACCCCCAATGTTGGTCAGAATCTACCACGCAGAAGTGTCATGCAGTATTTATCGTGATCAACAAGGTCACGGCAAATGCAAGTCAGGCAATGATGTTAAAGCACAAACAGAGGGCCTACCACTCGAGTCGTATTGCAGTATTTGGCACAGCCCCCACTGCTGAGCATCAGAAAGTCAGGAGAGGTTGAGTATTCACAGTCCCTTCGATAACTTGTCTGTAGAAGCAAGCAATAGGAACATTGATGATGCAGTCAAGTCACATCACTTTATTGATATCTCACACATATGAAATGAGAATCAGACATTTACAACAAATAACCACTGACAATAAATACTGGAGGGGTAAATTAAAAAAATAAAACAAGACAACAGTACACAACAATAACAATGAATCACTGCACAAAGTCCAAGTGTATTTGTTATTACCAGTTCAGTGCTTCCAGATGGGCAGTGAGTCTCATTCAGGTGACTGCATCTTGTACAGCTTCCCTAAAAAACAAAGCATGGAAAAGTACTTCTATGAAGGCAAAAACTATTTAACACTCTGAAAGTTCACATGTGGCATCACAGACCACAGCCAACACAACCTACCTCAAGTATTTGGCTCTCATTCTTATCACACCTGTGTGGCAAAATAGGAACGATGGATGGAGGGATGAAGACACCGTCAATGACATGGATGATTCCATTGGATGCTACAATTTCTCTGTAATCTAAATTGATCTTTTTTTCAGTCAGAAAGATTCTTGCCTGTTGGAAAATAAATGCAAGAGATGATATAAACCTCATACCATATTTCAGTTTCAGAAGGGCACCCATAAAAATGTGTCCTCTGTCCACTGGGAAATGAATAGTGAGGATCTCTGTAATGTCCATGACGCGGTGCGATCAGATTGATGGGTCATTGACTTACATTCTTGGCAATGTTAACTGTGATGGTCTCATGGGCCATGGTCTGGAATTCTGTCATGGTAGCCAGTTGTTCCACTGTAACCTGGAAAGAGAGGAAAATGGCTTGATATTAATAGACATTTTGCATTCTTTTATCAAACGCCAACCATTTTCATCAACATTTTATAGCATCCAAAGTTAGAACAGCATTTTCCAAGCCTGTAAAAATTCAAACATAAAAAAGTTTCTGTGGATACCAATTAATATAATTCCTCATGGTAGTGTTCTTTTCCATGTCAATGTATGAAATATACCCAATATAATTAATGACCGTTATATATCACACAGCAGTAGATTTTCTTTTAATGCATTATCATGCATTATGTGTCATGCAATCTTTTTGCTGAATATGCTCATTTCCTAATTGGTTTGTCACCACTGATAGGAATGAATAAATTTATATTGATCTCCTGGATAACTTACAGTAGCTGTATTCAAAGACCTTGTCCAAGAAGCCTAATATGGATCTAGCAGCCTGTCTTGCTATAGGCTGATTACAATCTTTCCATTTTTATCACGACTCTGAAAGAATTTTTGCTAGTCTAGAGCTCTGTGCTTTGCTGTCGTCCAGTAATGTGTCTCATTTTGTCAAAGATCTGACCACAGAGCTGCTTCTCAGTACCATCACGTAATCATTCACAGCCGGGCTAAGATTAGCTATTCAGTATGTCAGGCTAGCCTCATAACTGCACAGATCCTCTGCCTCAAATCTTTGTATTACATTACCTTGATTTAGTCCATAGAGGTCTTATCTATAGAGTCTTACCCAAACCTACTGAAATAGCTTCTTTATTTTTTTATGCCTACCTTTCATGCTATACTAAAACGCCTACCCAATCCCTGTCAAAGAAAACCCCTGCTGTGCCAAATAAACGGGGGTATACAGGAGCAGGCCACAGGGGAAATAGCCCCGGCTGAAAGCTGATTGGCCGCTGGAGTGCCCCCTTCCCTGTAACTAATCATTCGAAAACGTACCCTTGGTTAATTATTGGTAAGGCTGACTCCTCTGTATGAATTATGGCCCCTCTTATGCCCACCCTCCTTAAAAAAAATTCTAGCATCACACCTGCCAATGAACCCTTCAATCATGGTCCAATCCTGTATCATACTTCTTTGTCTTGCTGCTGCACTTTTCTAAACTTGATATATGGTATTTCAGTTGGAGCACAGAACAGCTTTTAAAATGCTTATCACACTTATTCAGCGGGTGGCCAATTAAAGTGTGGTCAAAGCTGGAATATTTACCGCTGCCATGGAGAAGATGTGATGCTTCAGAAGCTTCTGAAGCTTGTCTTTGGCCTGCAACAAGAGAACTAACATTATTGGAGGCAAGTCCATCTCACAAGTATCATTTGAAATCAGATAAGTACTGATTTTTAATCCCTTAATCAAGATTAGACACATATCTGGTTTGCAGAATCACTCAAGGCAGGTAGAAGGTCAGAAGGAAGGTTATTACAGATTACCATCCATCATACCTGACTGTGGCAAATACCGGTTTGTGAAGGTCAGTATCAAATAGCTCCGATGACCCCTGACCTTCTCACCTGTGACAGCATGTATATGAAACTCCCATCCCTGGCACGGTCTATAGCCTCGTTTGTGGGGACAAACACGGTGAGGGGCCCAGGACCCTTTAATGGAATATCTGCACCACAGTTCTGCAGCACCAGTGAAACATGAGTTTAAATTAATTGGCTTGAAATCATATGAACACATATGACCATCGTATGAACATAGCCACTACTAAACAAAGAACAGCGCAGTCTATAAGTAGACTTTAAGTCTATAAGTGCATAAGTATATTCTTTTGGTAACACTTAAAGTCATCATAATGCATTATAGATACCTTCATAATGCATTATAATGCATTCAAAAAGTATAAACACGGCTATAACTATTTATAAAAAGGCATAACACATTATAGCCATGTTTATTATGCATTATGAATGTCATCTGAATCACTCACCTATAACGCACTATAGATACCTTCATAATGCATTATAATGTTCAACATAAGAATTAATAATGCTGTATACTGCATTATGAAAGTAATTGTATAAATAGGGAACATTGTATAAAAATAGCTATAATTGCTGCACACATCCTATCCATAGTATTAAATTATAACTGACAGACTGCACTTTACAGTGAATATAAAAAGTGTACACACCCTTGTTAAAATGCTTTTTGTGATGTAAAAAATGAGACCACAATAAATAATTTCAAAACATTTCCCACCTTTAATGTGACCTATAACCTGTACAATTCAATTGAAAAACCAACAAATCTGTTAGGGGAAAAATATTTAAAAAAACTACAACAAGCTGGCTGCATAAGTGTGCACAACAATAAATAAATACTTTGTTGAAACATCTTTCAGTTTAATTACAGTACTCAGTCTTTTTGGGTACACATCTGCCATCAGTTAAAGTGACTTTGATTAACCCCAAATAAAGTTCAGCTGTCCTAGTAGGATTTTCCTGACTTTTACTCGGCTGCATCCTACAGCAACAGCAATGGTTTGCAGAGAGCTTACAAAGTATCAAAGGGATCTCATTGTTAAAGGTATCAGTCAGGAGAAGGCTACTTCACTGCATTTGATAAACCATGGATCACAGTGATGACAGACATCAGGGGAAGGCTACTTCACTGCATTTGATAAACCATGGATCACAGTGATGACAGACATCAGGGGAAGGCTACTTCACTGCATTTGATAAACCATGGATCACAGTGATGACAGACATCAGGGGAAGGCTACTTCACTGCATTTGATAAACCATGGATCACAGTGATGACAGACATCAAGAAGTGGAGAAAACATGGGGCAACAGTGATGTTACTGAGAACTGGATGTCCCTCCAAAATTGATTAAAAGACAAGACAAAACCTGGTCAGGGAGGCAGCAAAGAGGCCTACAGCAAGGCAACACTGAAGGAGCTGCAGGAATTTCTGTACTACATGTGACAACAATCTCCCATATTCTTCATATGTCTGGACTATTGAGTAGGGTCGCAAAACAGAAGCATTTTCTTACAGAGAAAAACATCCAGGCTCAGCTCAATTTTACAAAAAGAATATATCGTCTCCCAAAAGGAGTGAAAAGCTGTATTATGATCTGATGAAACCAATGTTGAGCTTTTTGGCCACAATTCCAAAAAGAAATTGTGACCCCAAGCATACATCCAAATCAACAAAAGAATGGCTTCACCAAAAGAAAGTTTTGGAATGGGCCAGCCAGAGCCCAGACCTAAATCCAACTGAAAATCTGTGAGGTGACCTGAAGCGGGCCGTGCACAAGAGATGCCCTCGCAATCGGACAGATTTGGAGCACTTTTCCAAGGAATATTACCAAGTCAAGATGTGACATTCTGATAGACTCCTACCCAAAAAGACTGAATGTTGTAATTAAATCAAAAGATGCTTCTACAAAGTAGCCGTTTAAGGGTGTGCACACTTATGCAACCAGCTTATTGTACATTTCTTATTTTTTATATTTTCCCCCTAATGTTTGTTTTGCAATTGAATTGTACAGGTTTATAGGTCACATTAAAGGTTGTAAAAGTTAAAAAAAAAATGTTTATCATGGTCTCATTTTTTTATATCACAAAAAGCATTTTAACAGGGGTGTGTACACTTTTGATACCCACTGTATATAAATATTGTTTCACTTCAAATCCATTGTAATGTATAATATGTGTCACTATCCAAAAACTTAAGGACTGCACTGAATATTATAAAACTTATTATGCACTGTTTGAAAACATCAGTTATGCAAAACAAAAGAGAAAATATGTGAAATAATTTCCACACATATGAATTTAATACACAGCTCAGCATCTTTAGTAATGTGGTGTAAGACTGTGCAGTCTGGAAACAATGCCATGCACCTATACTTAATTTCCAGCTAAGAGGTACTTACATCTACTAATGACTGAAAACGGTTGAAATCATTTTCTGAAGCAACAATACTCCCGATGTTCATCTTAGCATACTGAAAATGAAGACATTCATAAAATAAACACTAGACATGAAATCAAGTCACAACAGAGTCAATAAGTTCAGATTAAAAACCATACCTTCTCATCAATATTCCTGTTTGGGTACGATTTGATGATTGGCTTGTCAATGATATGGATAATCCCATTGGCTGCTGGAATGTCACTGTGCACAACACTGAAATCTTGGAACGAAGCCTGTGCAATGGTGAATTTCTGTTAAACAAAAGGACAAAATAACTATATCGGAGTATCCTGCACACACATTTCATATCTTCAAAATTGCCAGCTTGTTTACTGTCTCAGAGTACCTTGTTATTCTGGAAATTAATAGATTTTCCGGAAAGCAGCCAGTACTCCTTGCTTTGCAATTCACTCATGAGATACTGCCCAAGAATTATGTGGTTCTTGCAAAAGACAGCATCTGGGACATCCTTGAGGCACAAAAAAGAAGAGCAGAATTCACAAAAGTAAGTAATGAACAGGGGAAGTGAAGTTAAATACTGATGGAGAAATAATGATTGTTATAGTGATTGTTTAGTGATTGTTTCATTATAATATAATTATAATGTACATTATAATATAGTGATTGTTTCATTATAACAATTAAGGTCCAGTTTGATGTTAAATTGTTACATGTGCAATGTAAAGCAAATGAGAAATGTTACCCCATAAGAACCATAATACTTAAAGCATTTGTGAAGTTCTATGATACAGTGTCACTCAAAGGTGAGTGAACTCCTATGTCCACTGTAGAGGAAGCAGTTTAAAAATGTGCCATGGTAAGTCTACCTAAATGTGGATGTCTTTCAAAATTATCCCACAGAATATAAGAAATGCAAACTTCTGCAGGCCTCCCTGTCAGCCGCCGATATGCAAGTTTATATCTCACCAACACAACACATCACCATGGCAATGCACCAGATAATCAGCAAGGGAGACGGATATGGGGCATACAATGTAAACTGAATAATAACGGCATAAATGGGAGAAGTGGCTAGGTTGGATCTTCACTTTCAAACAATAACATTGTAGAAAATAAGCATCTAAATGATCTTACAGATTTTAGAAAAAAATTCTCTGGACAGTTGAGTTAATCCTCTTGACCACAGCTGATAATGTTAGTTTTGATCAAAACATAACTCCAAAAATAACTCTAAAGTTGTCATAATTATCATACAAGGAGGTGTTAGGACTTTAGTCTGGTGCTATGTTTGGCCTATATGCACTTAAAACTTGACACTGAGTTATGTACTGGTATTCTGAAGTATTACGTCAAGCTCTGAGTTGATGTTCGGCTAAAATGGTTCTGCCAGAGTGACAAATATCCTAAATATTCTATTAAAATGACAAAGAAGAGGTCTATATGTAGCCCTCAACCCAACAGGAATGCTAAGGCAGGGTATTAAGAAGGTTTTTCATTGGTCGTTCATGCAAGTCAACCTATATATTTCGAGCAGGTGAAGCAGATCTTCAAACAAGAAACTGCACAAAACATGAGATTTACTTATATACAGTATAATAATTTACTTCAGTAATAAGGATGTGAAACCACATAGTTTCCAGATACCCTCATCAAATACTGTAAATCAGAAATACGATTATTTGTCCAAGTCAAATAGAACATTAAGGATTCACATTCTTTCAAACATCCAAGTCTTTTTTTAAGTCGAGAAATAGTTCTATGAAGGCCAGAAAAACAAAATAAATTGCAATCTAAGTAGAGAACCGTCCACATAATATTTGATAACTGGTACAAAAACTGCACCTTCAAAATGCCTTTATAATGCATTCCTAGAACATTCAGTGCCTCTTCATAATGCATTCATAAAAAATTCACAGAACATTCATAAGCAGCATATACATGTACCTTAATATCCTAACATGCCTAACAACTTAAATATACATTAATAACAAATGCTATATAATTATACAATTATAATATTTGTTATTATCATATATTTGTTATTAAGGTATACATATGAATGTTCTATGAATGCTTTATGAATGCGTTATGAAGGTTACCCAATTTTTGCATCCAGTTTTGTGTAAAATTATTGTAAAGCTTTTTGTTCATCCTGGTTTCTGGTGTCATTGTTTCTTTATTATGTTTAAACTATACTAAAAACTTTTTAAAAATCTATTTTGACTAGCAATTAAAAAACTAATAGTGATAATGAAGGGATGATCCCTGGAGACCTACAGCCTTCCAAAAAAAACAACACAAGGATACCCAAAGGCAGGGGCATCAGGAAACCCCATCTACCCCAAAAAATTAAATTATTTAAAATGTATTGCTTATCTTTTATGAATTCATACTGAGTACTGACTGTAGTTCTGTATCAGACAAACACATTTTATCATATGGATCAGTTTTGTTTTTTTTATGCTTAGTTGTGAAACTGTCCGCTAAAAAAGAGTTAGCCTTATTTTGTTCATTTGTTGTTGTATGATGAAATCTTTATTATTATAAAATTATTTTTAAATTATTCTTACAAGGCATCCTTTCACAATGTAACTATTGCATGTGTGCCCATTGTGATGTCACAATATACATCACACCCCCCCCCCACGCCACCCATGTCAAACTCCTTCCGTCTCCACTCCACAAAGGCACTTCATGGCGATGAATAGCACCAGCTGGAATATCGATCCTTACCTGTGTAGGTGACAAGCTGAGAAGTGGAATGAAGACAGTGAATGGTCCATGTTTTGTCAGTATAAGCTGGCATCCATTCTCTACGACCACCAAACACTGCGTTAGTGTTCTCAGAATCAGCTCAAAACACATACGAAGGCTACGACAGCCCTTAAACTAGATGCAGATTGAGAAGGGACATTGACCCCATGCAAAATGTGATTGTATTTTCACTGCAGGTTGCAAACAAACATGGAAGGACAAAAGGACACCGATGTCCTTGACAAGACAGTCAAGGTACCATGAAAATGTGGAATCAACAGGAGTGGATTAGTATTGGTTCAAGGGCTTAGTTGCTACCGAATGTGGCGATGGAGGCAGAGAGTTTTCCTTTCAGGGTTTCGCCTCTGTCCAGCTCCAAGATCCTCTCCATGATGTTGCCATAGCAACGTCTGCCATTGCCAATTTGCTCCTTAGCACAAGAGCATCTGCAAGAGAACTTATGTGAGATCTCCAGTGAGCACAGGCTAAAGCTATACTGGGCAATTTATCAGCAACAAAGAGGGGGATACACAAAGAGAACCAGCTAATGGCACAAAACTGTAGTCTCGCCGTTGAAGATAATAGAAACAGAGATAAGACATTGAGAGTCTGTTTGATGGGAGAAAACGTCTACGCACATGGGGATAGCATCTGCACCGATCTGGCACTTGGCAGTACTGTGACATGTGCTGCCATCACAGCCTTTCTTTGGCCTGCAGCCCTGTGAGGGAGAGGAGCCCTCCGTTCCGCTTTTACATTCACATCGAGACTTCAGAGGACATGCGAAAAGAGGAAGTGATAACATATCAGGAAAGACTGCCACAGTCATGTGTCATACACTGCTGATCAAACTGTCACCTCCCTACAGAGCGGATGTCAAACTACACCTACAGAATTCTCAGCCGGGTGTGTGAAGCAGATACATGGGCTATTCTTTTCTCAAGGCAAAACTGAGCTTTCAGGGGATAAGTCAAGTGCACTTGTCAGTCTCCAGAATCTCATTCAAATGTAGGCAAGATGTATGCCAATGTAAAAAGCAGGCTTGTATTTGCCAGTTAAGTATGGGTGATATATAGTACACATGGACGTAAATTACAGGGGGGGGTGGGGGAGTTGTAACCCGACCCCCCCCAATGATCAAAGCCGGCCAATACAACCCACCCCAATAATCAAAGCTGGCCAATACACCCCCCCCCCAATAATCTCCTCCTAAATGGGTGGAGACCTCAACTTCCCCAATGATGATACCAAAGTTACGCCCTTGATGAAAGTTAAAAATTCCCTGGCAAACTCTGGACAACTTCCTTTGTGATGCTGTATTACCCATCAATCACTGCATAGGCGGAGTCTGAAGTTTGCATTTGGGGGGGGGGGGGCAAAAAACCCACATCATGCCTACTTTATGTTTTAACGCACGTATCTGATGCACACATAGCCTCTTATTCTGTCTACCTATTGGGAACCAATAAATCACTTTTGCAAAGATGCAAAGTGCCAGCATAGAGCATAGCGCAATGCTCGTGTTGCCAATTAATTCCAACTTCAACTCGGCAATGGGGGACTGCCCCCCTCCAAACACTGTCCATGTGTCAATGATATACGTCTGTCTTCAGTGGCTCAGCCTTCGAAGTCAATGCCCATTGTTATTAGAGGGTGAACTGCATGCATTTGTTCTGAATGTGTCTTACCTTTGCAGGGCTGACATAGACACAGTTGGTGGAATTGGTAGGGCAGCCTCCATTGTTCATGTCACATGGATTGATCGGGGTACAAAGCTTTCCATCTCCTTGGTAACCATCTTTACACGTACACTGGTAATTCCTCCCGTCCAGGTTCATACACTCAGCATTAGGGTGACACACGTTTGTAGAGCACACATCCCCTGGTAAAAACAATTATATGATTTATTTAGAAACACATGTTTTATATATACTCTCAGTGGCCAATTTCTTAGGTACACCTAGCTAAAGCAGGCCGTATACATCTGACGAAATCAACGTCATTTTGTCAACACAGCACCACATCAACACAGTATGATGCAAAAACACTGCGGTGATCACTGTTTCTGCGCATCGTCTGTGCAGTTTCCCTAAGGCAAACATTTGCTATTGTTCTGATGTGACGCTGTGAGGTTGGTCAACAGGACTAATTATGTTTATGCTATGCATTGCACCACATGTATCTTTAAATTGTGTAAATCAATATGTGTCTTTGTGTATGTATGTTGATAATACGTGTTGTAGCTGTTTAATACAATAGAATGCACGTTTCGTCAGTATGTAACCATGGATGTTGTTTAAATTGTTGTTTTCCATGTCTGTGCTGTTAGTATTAGACTAATAGTGGCTGTTAATAAAGACGGCATTTTCCATCTCAAAATGCTGTCATTTCCTTTATTAAAATGACTCACGCACATGCTACAATGCATTTAGTTGTGCTCCCTATGTGAGTTTGTTGCATCGGAAACATTCTATATCTATATGACATAGAACGAAGAAGGTTGTGGCATATTTTCGAGTATATATTGCTGCAGCCAGGAGCCGAGTGTCGAGTGGGGGGCCAATGTTGAGTAGGGGGAGTTTATCATGAGGGGTAGGAGGGGTGTATGGTTGGGGCTAAGGAATCAGATAATAACAGTTATAAACCTCTCCCACACTGCACCTTCTACTTGACATTGCCCTTCCTACTCGACATTGCCCCTCCTACTTGACATTGCCCCTCCTACTCGACATTGCCCCTCCTATTTGACATTGCCCCTCCTACTCGACATTGCCCCTCCTACTTGACATTGCCCCTCCTATTTGACATTGCCCCTCCTACTCGACATTACCCCTCCTATTTGACATTGCCCCTCCTACTCGACATTGCCCCTCCTATTTGACATTGCCCCTCCNCCCCTCCTATTTGACATTGCCCCTCCTACTCGACATTGCCCCTCCTATTTGACATTGCCCCTCCCACTCAGCACTCGGTTCCTGGCTGCAGTAATATGCCTCTCCATATTGTTAAGTATGCCAAAGTATGTTCTCGCTGACTTGATTGATTTGTCTGTACTGTACATCGTGTGAAGTATACAGCCACATTAACACTGGATATGACCCACTTTTACCGCCAGAACGATTTCAAGAGTAGAAAAGTTGTATTTTCAGGGAATATTTCCTGCATACCACTTCTGTACTGAACTGTTATTTTATCACTTGTGGCCTTTCTATTAACTTTAACAGGTCTGGCCATTCTTCTTTCATTAACAAGTTTTTTTTTGCCCCACAGAATTGCCTCTGACTGGAAGTTTGTTCTTCATCACACCATGTAAACTCTAGACACTGTAGTGTGTGAAAATCCCAGGAAAGTGGCTATTCCTGAGATGCTGGATCATCGCACCTTGCACCAGCAATCACAGCACATTCTAAATTGCTTAGATCACGTGTCAAACTCAAGGCACGCGGGCCACATCTGGCCGGGTGTACAATTATACCTGGCCCGCAAGATCATTTTATTTATCTTTTTAATGGCCCGGTAATATGAAGTGCCAATAACATACAAACTACAAATCCCACAATGCATCGCAACAGCTACCTTACCGAATGATAGGCTACCTGCGATCATTCCCGCGTCAACTACGTCAGATCAATCAAGCGTCTCTTGATGTATGCAACCCTAATATCAAGTGAAAGCTAGACCCTAACAATGGCCAAGAGAAAAGTTGATTCTGAAAACAGAGCCTTTCTAAACCGGTGGGTGGCTGAGTATATTTCAATTTCAATTTCAAAAAACTTTATTTGTCCCCGAGGGGCAATTTAAAAGTTTAAAAAATGTATTTATGTTTACTGACATTGCCGGAAAACCCGTGTGTCTTATTTGTGGAGCTAAAATATGACTGAGAGAGAATCTCCATGACACAGAACCTTACCCCAAACATGCCAAGAAAAGATGCCAAGCATCCAACTCTGACAGAATAACATAAGAGCAAAGACAATGGAATGTTTTGATTTGTTATTATTTTAACTTTAACTTAAAAGCACAATTTTTATTTATATTTTCAGGGTTTTTTTGTAGCATATTCATATTTTGAATTTGTATAATTTTGACAGGAGATATTTTTATGGACAGCAAAATATTTTAAGTTATTTTAAGTTTAAGTTTTATTTATTTTGGAATAATATTGTATCCTGTCTGTTTCGATTCATATTTATGTTCAAAAAATGTTTAGTTTTAGTCTGTTCAGTAAATGTTTATCCTGTTCGACCTAAAGTGCGCTTTGAGGTTTGGCCCCCTGTGCAACTGAGTTTGACACCCCTGGCTTAGATCATAATGTGTATCCAACCAGCAGTGTTGAAGTTACTCAAAAAAGTCATCCATTACAGACAGAGGTGGACAGTACAAATCCAGACCAAGGTTTTGTTTCAACCAACCAGTTGAGCATAAAGAGTCACAGTCACTGTTACCTGAACAGGTGGTGCCAGTCCTCTTAAACCCAGGGAGGCATTCGCACGTTGCACTTGCACCATTACCTTTGCAGTAGGAGTAGCCTGTACAGTTTGCGCAGGATTGGCTCACTAGATAGTGGACAAAACGGGGGGGGGAGGGGAGTCCTTAGACAAAATTGATAGAAATCCAACAGCAGCTCCTATATGAGGAAGCCCAGTGAGTTGTAATGTGTCATGTGACACTGAGCATGAACATGAGCAGAAGGAGGTTAGCAGTAATTGCCATTCTACTGTTATTCTAACTACCTCAACGCAGGCTTGCAGAGGTATAAAGTGCAGCCAGGAAGTGTGTCTGGCCAGGTAGCTTGAAAGCTCTTTTTCTGGGCGCCCTTCTGAACAAATGTAAAGTATTCTTATCATTGATTCTTTGTGTTGCCATACAAACAGTCTGTAAATGATGCATTAAAATTTGATGCACACATAACTTTTTATATAAAATTGTATCAGTTTTATCTCTATTTAATGTTTTTCTTTAACTTTCATTTAAACAACGTTAGATCTGTTAAATCATTTGGATATACATATACCACAGGTAGTCAAATACTTATAGAGCAGGGCTGCTCATTCCTGCTCCTGGGGATCTGCTCCCCTGCCAAGCTCAGGTGCAGCCTTACTTGTTAACATAGCTGGTTCTAATACTGAGATGCCACTGAAGTACCTGATTATCTGTATCCCGTGTGTTAAATTAGGGCTGTACCTAAGCTCTGCGGGGGGGGTAGGCCTCCAGGAACAGGAATGAGAATCCCTTACTCCAGGAACAGGAATGAGAATCCCTTACTCCAGGAACAGGAATGAGGATCCCTAATGTAGAGCCTATATCTGAACGCTCTTCAAATGTGTGCTGTGTTTTTTCATTGCACTCCTTGTTTGCTATCAGAGCAGACTGCTATATATCTCCCATAAAAAAACAGGTTAATTCAACCAGGACATGTTATCCTGTTCATTCTCATTGGCATGTACACCATCAAACCAAACAGTGGCTAATGGGGGAAGCATTCACCTTCCTGACATTTAGATCCAGTGTATGGAGGCTGGCAGTAACACTGTCCATCTCCATTGGGACCGGAGTTGCATTGCCCTTTATTGGAACAGGTGCACTCTACAGTGGAAGTAGATGGAAAATAACGCAATCACAAAAAATATTATTAGTAATTAGTAATAGCCCTGGGTTATTGTATAACAGTATGCATGCAGTTCAAAGTTGATGTGCTATCTGCCTTGTTTGTATGTTGCTTTGCAGAAGAATGTCTTCCACACAAATGTGAAATGGAAATTTACCAGAGGCACACTGCGAACCATAAACATCTTGCTTCTTACAGTGTTCGCATGCGAAGCCAGTTACTCCTTCCTGAAAGGTCATAATAATTAAAGTAAATGAAAACTAAGAGACAACTTTGCTTTACATAACACTTTGGATTACGGTATACAATAATTCAAGCACCTCATTACCCATCAAGTATAACCTAAAGCATCCAAGTTCATTTGTTGTGATCCACCAATATTTACCTTGATGTACTATACTACCCTACAAAGATAAAACACAGTAACTACACTGTCACACTGAGAAAAGAGGCTTCAAAGTTTTTTGACTGTCCACCCGTATGTTTAATACTTATTAAATATATATTTATGAAATATCTTAGATATTTTGTAATGAGATAAAACAGAAGTATGGATTTTGTAAAATATGCAGATAAGGTGTTTTATACAGCAGTAAAGCAATGTACTATCTATCATTTTGGGTAAAGGTCACTTACATTACAAATGCAAGTTCCATTTCCTGTCATCCCATCCATGCATGAACCAAGCCAGTTACACATCCTATCGGAAACGCTAGGACACGCTGGGGAGAAAAACAGGATGCACATTAGCCCTGGCTGGTAAAGTTACAGCTCAAACGCGGATGACCAAATCAGAGAAACGAAGCAGCACTCACGAAGACAGAGAGGACCCCAAAAGTTGGAACAGCATTTGCGGACCATGACCTGGGTCTCGCAGGAGTGTCGGCAACCAATTGGGAAAACCCACCCATCGCCAATTTCAACACCATAACTGAAAAGATAGCAAAAGGAGAAGGGCAGGTTTGTAGCCACAAGGTAAAAACTGGACATGAATTCTGAATCTAGGTCTTCATGCTGAAACATACTACATTTGTGAAAAAGTGATGATTAGAGAACAGGGTCAGACAGTTTCCCTGTAGTGATTGAGGTTAAGGGCCTTGCTCAAGGGCCCAGCAGAGGCATCACTCTGAAAGCCACAGGATTTGAACCAGCCATCTTCCGATCACACGTCCTAACCCACAGAGCTGCATGATGGCCAAATCACACGCATGTCATGCACAGTGATGCTTGGTCATCAAGTTAATATCTTGTGGCAATGTATTCTGTCACAAAAAATGCTACACTGTGTAAAAACACATAGTTCTGGCAAAGTAAGTGTCAGTAAATACTATTAGCACATCAGGGCCCAATCAGACAGAGATAGCCTTTCCAAGGTGGACATTTCTAACAATGGACCTGCAGCCTTTGATTCCCATGTCCGTGGTGATCTTTCTGGAGCCACTGGGGCAAAGCATGCCGGGAGATGCAGCACAGGAAGTGCACTGTGTATAAAAACGCTTAGTGCTCAGCTCATCACAGCGGTTGGCAGCCGTCTGGAAGAGAGAATGAGAGAGAAGTGTTGGGTTACAACACTTACTTTCACGTCCATTGTGGGTAGAACTGGTTTCACTACACTTCTTGGCAATGAAAGATTATTATTCCAAATGACACGCTGCAGCTTTTATTTCCTGTTTTTATAGTATTGGTTTTTGGATAGATAGATAGATAGATAGATAGATAGATAGATAGATAGATAGATAGATAGATAGATATAGATAGATAGATAGATGATAGATAGATAGATAGATAGATAGATAGACTTTGTTAATCCCTGATGAGTAATTAAGGATAGAAAATAATACAAAATATAAACAATATAAAGAGCATGATTTGATACTCATTCCATACTGTATAAAAAGTTGGCTGCCTTAAGATGGATGAGACAAAATAGCCAAAAGAAAAATGAAAAAATAATGTTTTTCTGCAAAACACAGGAATTTTCTATCCTTTAATCAAACTATAATTAAAAGGGAGAAAAAATCAGACAGAATCAGAACAAAAACACAAGCCAGTTGTAATATTTTTAATATTAATACAGCTGTGAAACACACCATTTAAATGGTAATCTTTAAAAAGATTATCTACCCACCCATCCTTCCATTCACCCACCTATCCATCCATCCATCCATCTGTCATGCACAGGGTTATAGGGCACTGTACCTCATTCTACATAAAATTTACATTTTACCTCATATTCTCATGCTTCAAGTGCATTTTGCCACCATGACCATTGTCTCTTGCTTGATGCGAATTAAGGAACCAGTTGATTCACTTGATTCTCTTCATGAAGAGGGATTTGAAGTGATTCCAACATTATACTATCAAAAATGTATCATTCAGAATTTTCTTTACACTTACCTCCTGAGCAGAATGGGTCACCATCAATCCCAGAATGATGAAGAAGAACATTTCTTTCTTATCTTGTCAGCATGCAGTTTGTTTTCCATACAGTTTGGGCAACAGACAGAGTGTGGAGAAGTGGAAGCACTCTCCAAGACACCCTCTAGGCTAGAGTCAGAGACCTTGTAGTCCAAAATATTGAAAGATGTCTTTTCAGTCTAACTGTGCATTGCTTGGATTGTCCGGTGTTACGTCTGCTAGATGCTGAGTCGTACTGTACATGTGATGACTTTCTGTGAATTGCAGGAGGAGATTTATGGGGAAATGTTGCAGGTTTCCTCTTCTGTAACATCTCTGTGACAGACCGGATATCCTTCCAAGTCAAATAGTTGGAACAACTTGGCACGGGGTAACAACAGGACATACGAGATGTCAGCTATTTGTTACCCAGAAATAAAACTTCATTTTCTTTGCACAGTGGGTCAAGGCTTTCACTTTGTATTCTAATTTTCCCATTTCCCTTGTGTTTTCTTATATATCTAAGTGATTATACCCTCTAGACAGTTATTTAAGTGAATGAAAATAATAGCTCTACCAAAAAGTGAAGTAACCGAATATTTATTTCCATGGTTTGTATTATGTTTATAGTGTTTATATAATTTATGTAATGTTGTATTTATCTATGCAAATTTAGTGTCAAAGAGGAAAGTGATATAAATTTGCTCTTCATTAGCATCAATGTTCTCTATTCATATTTGACAAAATTATTTAACATAAGGTTTAATGCAATATCATTTACATTTGCATTTATTCATTCAAGCTAATGAATTAAGAACACTAACAAACAAGGCTGTGTTAGCCTCCACTCTGTCTCAGACTGCAAAACTGCTCCATCATCAGTCCTGAGGTTTCCACAGCCAAAGTTCACTTCCTCGTGTTTATCTTACCAGCCCAATGTATTATTTGGATGATTAAGGAAGCGACCTAAGCTCTTAATGTCAATGGACCAATTCCGATGGCTGAGCTTGCATTGTGGTAATTAGGTGTTAAATACAGGCCTCCTGTAATGTTAAAATGAGCCATTGTTTCCACTTTTATATACTGCTAATGCTACGTGTGACCCCTCGATTCAAGAAAAGAAAGGTAACAGATTTTGTGTCAAACAGCATTTAAATAAAAAAGGAGTAATTAAAATGCAACTGAGAGGAAATTAAAAGTTTAAGAATTATGTGGATTTTTGCATGAATGGCTCCTAAAACTAATTGGATATTCAAGTCATAACAATGACTAGGAGTGGGAATCATTCAAAGGTCAGTGAAACAAGTGACAAGGACCCCTAGGGTGACGGCAAAGCAACTTCAGGCGTTTCTTGAAATACCCGATAACATCTGAATTCATGTGTCAACCACAAGAAAAACACTGAACACGACCAGTGTTCATGCTAACTTACCGTAGAGGAATCCACTGTTCTCTCAAATAACATTTCTACCCTTCTTGTGTTTGCTAAAAGTCACCTGGACGCTCCATATCGTAGCTGGACCAATGTTCTGCGGAGATGTGAGAAGCCTGATTTTTTTTTTTTTGTTTTCTTTTTTGGAGAAAACAAAACATTGGACATCATGACTCAGACCTCACTGCACCCGTGAAGCGTAGTGGCATAGGACTGCTTTGCTGCTTTATTGACCTTTGGTGATTTCATCAATAAAGGGCTAATGGATTCTACAGAAAAAGGCATCTGTCTGTGATGTAAAATTCAAAATAAGTTGTGCCATGCAACTTGATCCCAAATGCAGAAGTAAACAGCAGGTTTCTGTTCTTCAAACAGAAGAAATTCCATATTATAGACCAGCCAGGTCACAGTCTGGAGTTCCATCCCATTGAAATGTTATGGTGTGATCTGAAGGAAGCCAACGCCAACACATACTAAACACATACATTAAGTGAAACTATTTCATATAGAGTAATGGGTCAAAATACCTCCTAACTGCTGTGTAGGTCTGAACAGCATATGTAGAAAATAGAGGTTATTGCCAATAAAGAAGGTTCCAGAAGTATAAGGGCTCACATATTTTTTCATCACTGACCTTGGCTGTTTAAACAAATTGTTCAATACAGCACTGTGAAATGTTTTTGTTAGGACTTCATTTTATGACTTAGATGAAGATTTTCATGTAAGCCATCCATGAAGAAATCTGGACTCTTCCCAAAGGTTCACAATCTATTTCTCCAGCTGTATAAAACCATAGTACTAATCAATTCAATTCAATACAATACAATACAATACAATTCATTTTTATATAGCAACTTTCACAAGTCATTCCAAGGCTTTTTACATGGATGTGTTGTGATACATTACAACATCAGAAATTAAATAAAGAAAGCCAGATAACAACGGAGGCGAGGAAGCAAACCCCCCCCACAAAAGCAAGGTGTAAGCTGTGACTAAGGATCAAGACAAAGTCCATCAATGGGTCTTTTCCACGCTGGCCTGTGTAGGGTGGCAGACTGAAGGCAGCACCCACAATGATTCAGTCCATAGATCCCATTCGCGATGTCACCCCTCCATGGGATCGAACCAGGACTCCAGTTCAGATGGTGCCTACCCTGGGCACCACCCAGACGTGTGGGAAGGAAGAGAGCATGGATGGTCAGAACATGCATTGACACATTAATGGACATAGTAGATAAAAAATGGCATGTACAGCAGCACCAGCAGCCATAGTTACGGTGTGTTGTGTTAGGTTGTGGGTAAGCTAAACTGAAGTCCAGATTTGAATACTGAGACTGAATCGGTATCCCAAACATAGGCTGGTAAACCATTCTGCAATATTGGAGCCCTGTAGCAGAATGCTTTACCGCCAACTGTCACTTTACTTATATGTGGAACAACAAGGAAACCTGCATTCTGAGATCTGAGTGGACGATGCGGCTTGTAAACTTGAAGTAATTCAGTCGAGTAGGTAGGAGCTAGACCTTTATGTGCTTTATATGCAAGTACGGCATAGATTTGTGTGTGGACGGTATGGACATGTTCCTACCAATATTGTAGAAGTTCCGTGTGTGTTTGGGGGGGGGGGGCGAGAGGTTCTGTGCTGACTTGTTTCCTACCAGTGTTGAAATCAAACCTGTGCCCTCTCTACTAATAACATAACCAATCATTGGTTGTATTTACCAGCATTAAAACCGAGACCCACTACAGTTTTTTTTTTTTTAACAAGATGCAGTCAGGTAACTTTCATGCCAAATTTCAGACAATTCCAAAGTGTTCATAGTTCATTTACTACAGTTTCTACACATCCAATCACCTTCCAAGCAGTTACGGCCAGAAAACACCGTGACTCAGATGTCAGAGCATTAATGTAATATCCATCCATTGTCCTGCCACTTATCACAGTCAATTTTTTTTTTGACAAACCAAAAATAATCATTAGTTACTATACACCTCTCAAAATAAATAAATAAATGTCTACCAACCAAATATATTTTTAGACTTTTATGTTATGTCATCCGCATTAGCCAGATCTCAACAGGCGTCGCAAGTGTATTGTCCAGGTGAGCTGGTTTCGAAAATTTGGAAAAAGTAAAATAAAGAGAAAGTTTCTCAAAGGCAAACAGACAAGTGGACATGACTTTAGCTCTTCCCACCTTCTTTGGGGTAGAGCTAGGATTAGGGATGTGTAACATGTGATCTAAGTATTACAATGAAAAAACAACATAATGTACCTACTGTACATGGGTTGCACAATGAAATTGACACACTGGCCAATATAGTGTTTGAGGTGTCACACTTATATATGTGCGGCCTGGTGGCCAATCTTCACTGATTCCACATTCCATCAGTATGAGCAGAATGTGAAGGTAGAATTAGCAGAGCAATAGCACAGCTGTATATAAAGTATTCCAGTCCACACAACATAAAGGGAGACAGAGTTCAAAAGCCGACAGATTGTTGGTGCGCATCTGTGACCAGGACAGCAAGTCTTTGTGGTGAATTGAGAGTCACGGTATCCTGGGAAATGTCGGCATACCACCACGATGGAAGGACCACATCCAACAGGAGTAGCTGTGAATGCCAGAGGAAGTTGTCTGAAAGGGAGGTCCGGGCACTAACCCGGATTGTATCCAAAAAACATTAAACCACAGCTGTCCAACTCACTGCAGAATTAAATGTGCACCTCTTTACACCAAAACTGTTCCTTTGGAGCTCCACAAGGTCAATGTTCATGGTCGGGCCGCTATAGCCAAACCTTTAGTCAATCTTGTCAGTGCCAAACGTCAGTTTCAATGGTGCCAGCAGCACAAATATTGGACTTTCGACAATGAGAAACATGTATCGAGTCCACTTTTGTTGTCTTTTCCACATCCAGGACAGTTACAGTACAGAGAAGTCCCAAAGAGTCTTACCACCTGTACTGTTGCATACCCAGATTGCAGCATGGGGGTGAATCAGTGATGGTGTAACTGTAATATCATGGCATTCCCCAGGACCACTACTTATTCTAGATGGGCGCATTACTCAGTACGTTTACATGCACAGCTAAGTCAAGCTGCGATTATAGCTCGACTACGTCATTTAATCGAACTACTGTCTTTGTCCTGGTATACATGCATGGGAGGAGAATCGATTTATTGACTGAAGATTGTCCAACTCTGCTGTGATAGGTGGTGACATGAATCCTTTCAGATTGTTATTATTGGACTTCTTCCAATTGACCTATTACGACACAGACGTAAAAATAATAATAATGCATGAACAAATGAAGTGACACAAGCTTTAATTGCGATCAGGTTGGAAGAACAGATACAACAAGATCAGAACAGCATAAAAAAATTAAGTATTTTGTATAATATACTATGACAGCGCGCTATTGGAAATTTTTCAAATAATGCAATGTGATTTCATCAAATAAATATTGGGCTATTTGTGGAGTGATTTAAACAGCAAGGATGAAAATGATTATGATTGTCTCTGAGAACACTTGTAGCACATGCAAAAGCAGTGGAGGTAAGCTAAACTGATACTTAAACATACACTCACCTAAAGGATTATTAGGAACACCTGTTCAATTTCTCATTAATGCAATTATCTAATCAACCAATCACATGGCAGTTGCTTC